TATTTATCTTTCTTTATATAGAGTGGTGAGGCTGAACGGCAGTATAAAGGAACTTTAGACTGCTTTGTGAAGATATACCAACAAGAGGGAATCAATGCATTTTTTCGTGGTGCCTTCTCCAATGTCCTTCGTGGTACAGGGGGTGCTTTAGTGTTGGTATTATATGATAAAATTAAAGACTTCCTTAGTATTAGTAGTGGAGGTAGTTCATCAGCAGATTAAATTGAGAAATGCATATAGTTAACTTGTTAAACATGCAAATTACATAGCTGCCATTTGTATACATTTTGATAGTTTGTTATTACTGTCAGTATTTTTAAAAGTAATTCTGCAATAAAGCATAAGCTTTTTCAAACATTTAAATACTAAAAATCAGATAAATGTGGGTTTCTTTTCCTCTTAGACTCAAACTCACTTTAATGAGACATTTTACTTATAATTAGTAGATGTTATTTCTATTAGTTTAAAATTCTTTTCTTACTTTTGTGATGAAAATTAAAAAATATAATGTTAAAACAAATGAAAGTTTGTTCTTTAAAAACACTATTCTTTTAATATAATTGTCTTCCCATCTTTTGCAATCATATGGTATGAGAAATATTTTTTAAAAGCTTATCAGAAGATGTCATCATTATATCTTTGGGCATAAGTAAGCTTTCTTCTACAACATCTCTACTAAGCTCAGTTTATTACTAAGTATAGGGTTTATGGTATCATATAGCTTTTAATAAACACAGATTCTAGATCATAAAACTGATACTGATGTTAATGACACTGTAAACCTGTAGTTGGAAAATAAGATATAAAATGGCATCTCTGCTAACTTTTATCTTTAAAATAAATAAAAGCTTGCTAATGTGAATATATCTTGGAACAAAAAAAGTCCCTTTGAAAATTAGTTTGTGTATTTTGTATTGATAATAAAGGAAGTTTACAACTTATATCTGAGCTTTTTTTTCTTGATTCTAACTTTATCAATAAGCAGAGAGGAACAAAATTTTTGTCAGAATTGGGAACTGACTTAAAGACAGAAAAAAGGGTTTCCCAGATTTTAACAGGAGTCTGTCTTTGTTTTTTCAGATATGTTGTAGAAGACAGTACATTTAAAATCCCCAAGATTTTAAAGTTTTGGTGAGTAAAGGAATATTAAGCTAGTGGGGAAACTGTAGAAAGATTTTGTGAGGTTATGAGTGGGCAAAAATGGGGTGGGTAAACTGCCCGGTACATAGAGGCAAAGCATGTTTCAAAGAAAAGAATGCACACTATACTGTTTAATATACAAGTGGGACAAAAGTAGGTTTACAGTTGTTCATATAGCAAATAATATGAAAATAAACTCTGTTTTATGTACTCACAACTGTAAACCTACTCTTGCCACACCCTGTGTTGGTGTTACCACTTGAAAAAAATTAACTCTTTGAAACTTAACATGATTTTTGCAGTGGTCAACATAACAGAAAGTTACTTTATTATTATTTTGTTAAATCTTCACCCAAGGACATGTTTTCATTGAAATTTTGGAGAGAGGAAGGGAGGGAGACCGAGAACCATGGATGTGAGAGAGAAACATCAGTCAGTTGCCTCCTGTACATGCTGTGCCCCAACTGGAAATTTAATTGCATAAAATACATAGGATTATGAGGGAAACTATTTGAAATAATGGTTATTAAAATATTTTAAAAATATAAATTTTTGATATGCTATAGTAATATGTGCTTCTTTTTTAACATTTACAAGATCCAGTGTTCCAATAATTACTATAATTTCATAGTATTAATGAGCATAAATGTGGTTGAAATAATATATCCAACAATTATGATGTAGTATGAAAATACTTGGTTTCTGTTGGTGGGAAAAATCACATACTGTTAATATTACTGTGTTTGTGCCTACATTCATAATTGAAAGAAATGTTAAATTTTCATTAAAGGTTAGTTCAAGACAATCCCTCCTTTAATCTGTCTATATTCCATGGGGATCTGGGGACCCCAGGGAAAGAACCCCATCTTAGAGCATTGTAATCATCTGCATAGTCAAAGCTGAGTCTATAGCTAATTTGTATTTCCATTTGCAAAAAGTGGAAAGAAATTAGAGCAGGTGGGAGGGATTTTAACTAGATGAGATGGAAGTTGCACGTCACATGGTGAGACTTTAGTCATGTGTCCATGCTGGAAGGTTGGAAATACTGTGTGTAATTGAGCAGCCATGTGTACAAGACAAAATAGTAGACTTTGAAAGAGAAGTAGGAGTCTGCATAGTCTCCTAAGTGATCCTTGTGTATCCAGTCTCACCTTGCTCTAATCTATTCTTTTTTTTTTTCTTTTATCCTCACCCGAGGACATTTTTCCATTTTTTGTTCAGACAGAGTGGGAGGGAGAGAGAGGAAGAGAGAGAGAGAGAGAGAGAGAGAATGAATCATCGATGTGAAAGGGACACATCGAGTGGCTGCCTCCCTCATGACCCAACCGAGGTATGCGCCCCTAGTGTGAACTGAACCCTGGCCTCTCTGGACCACAGGCCGACACTAACTGCTGAGCCAAACCGGCCAGGGCTCTAATCCATTCTCAATACTGCTAACAAAATATTTTTTAAAATTCAATCTGTGTCAGTTTTCATCTATTTCAGTGTCTCTAAATATCTTACAGCAGTACATCCTGATTTGTAGGTCATCTGGATTGAGGGATGTTGGGGGGACAGTCTTTGCAAATAATCTATGAGTAAATATGCCCAGTAAAGTGGCAGGTTCAATTCCTGGTCAGGGCACATACCCAGGTAGTAGTCCAGGAACATATGGGAGACAGCCAGTTGGTGTGTCTGTCTGTCTGTCTCTCTCTCCCTCCTTCCCTTTATCTCTAGAATCAATAAAAACATGACCTTGGGTGAGGATTTGGGGGGTGTGTGTGTGTGTGTGTGTGTGTAAATCAAATCTCTACTAACATTGAAAATTGGGTTTTAAAATGAGATTTTAATATGTAGCAAACTTTGGGGATTAATAAAACACAGGTATATATATATTGAAGTATATGTGGACATTATTTTAATAAATGGGAGGCATAATTTTTTTACTTTTAAAAAGGAATCCTGATTCTTGAAAAGGTAAACTTCCTATAGGATAAAGACTTCTTATTCCTAGCATGGCATACAATAGCCTTCATGCTCTATTGACTTCAGCTGTACATCGTATCTGTCCCAGGCACCATGGGCAAATCAGTAATTTCCGATTCCTCAAATGCTCTTTGATGCTTCTGTGCTGTTACACCTGGTTTTCTGTATCTTTTTTTTTTTTTGTAGAGTTAAGGAACGTGCCAAGTCTCTGTGAACCTGAAGCCTGTCATTCTTGCAACCACTAGGTACACTCTTTTCCTCCCAGTAATTGTAAAGAATGTGGCAACAATCTCTTGCTCCTGACCGCAGCTGTTTATTTTTACTCCTGCGTTTTAAGTGTATTTTAATAGAAAAATCATTCTTACACCCTCAAGTTTTACAGACAGAAAGCATGGATAAATGAATGGCCCTGGGAGAGGTTCAGGACCCTCTGGAATGAATCTAGGTGGTGGGCCCAAGAGGATGATGGCTGCAGAGGCAACCGAAGGGGAGGCTCTAAGCTACGCACCAACCAACGGGGGCTGGGGGCGGGGTTCGCGGGGACAGCAGCCAATCCCCGTCGTGCTTGCGCACTGCCTGACAGAGGCCCCTGGCGACGGCCTCGACGGAGCAGCCGCTTGGTGCCCTCTAGACGGAGAGGTGTGCCCGATGCGGGCAGCCAGAGTGGCAGCCGTGCTGCGCCTTCCAGCCTCTCGGTGTTGCCCTTGAGGATGGACTTCACGGCCCCCTTGGTAGCCGCAGGAGCGCTGTTCGCACTGACTGCTACTGCCCTTGCAGCAGTGATGGTAGTGGGAAGCAAGCACAGTTTTAAGAAGTGGACAAGTGGCGACAATGGCGATACGGCAACACGTGGGCCACGGGATGAAGAATCGGTGGAGGAGGAACAGAAAACACCCCCAGGAGTGGGTGAGGAGGCGCAGGAGACCTCCGAGGAACTGGGGGGCAGGGACCAGCAACCACATGAAGGCCTGGGCGCGAAGGCACGGGACAGCCCCCCTCCGTAAGTGTCACCCGGGGCTTGGCTGACGTCGGGCGCGCAGGCGCACCTGCGGATGGAGAGCGGGCGGCCGGGCCGCGCTGGCCCGTCCTGCCCACTGGACGGACGGACGCGGGAGCGAGCCCGGCCGCCGGTGTCATGTGACACGCGGGTTCCGAGGCGGCGCAGTGGAGGGCCCCGCACTGAGGACGGTGCGCGGAGGGGACCGCAGTTCCCTGCCAGATGGGCTGAGGTGCGTCGAGCCCTGGCAAGGAGAGCACAGCCGAAGCAAGTGCCGCCGGCGCCCACCGCGCCCCGGAGCCGAGGGCCGCGCCGCACAATGGGCGCCACCTCACAGAGCCGGGCGCGGTCGCGGGGCCGGGCCGCGGCCACACAGCGGCGCCTGCGGGCGGCACGTGGGCCCCTCGGGGCGGCGAGGCCGGAGGGTGGGTGCGCGGTCGCGGTTGGCTCCTGGAAAGCGGCGCTGGCCTGCGCGCCCGGCGGGGGCGGGCCTCCGCGGCAGCCCGCCGCTGTGCCCGGCGTGGCCCCGGTTGCCAACACCAGCCCAGGGCGCCCTGCAGCCGCGGGCCGAGCGCGGGCCGGGCACCGCCTCCCACCCCGCCGGCCGCAGTGCTCCGGGCCGCCGCACGAGGGCAGGCGAGCGGGCCGCGCCGGGTGCTCCTCCCACCTCCCTGATCCTCCCGCCCCGCCCCGCCTTCCCCGTGCTCCCCTCCCCCGCGGGCTCAGCCGCCTCCATCTTCCAGATCTTTCTCGAACCCGCAGCTCTTCGGCAGCCGTTGCCCGAGCGCTGACGGAAGCGGCCGAAGCCGAGGTCCGGCGCAGCCTCGGGCGCGGCGCAGCAGCTCGCGCGCCTCCCGGGCGGCCGAGCGCGCAGGCGCAGAGCTCAGTAACTGCCGGTTGGAGGCGGCCGAACCGCAGTGGAGAGACCCGGGCGGCTGCGGCGCGGCGGCCTCCACCTCTCCGCGGTTGCCCGGCGCTGCCCTACATTGGACACGTAGCGACTGCGGGTCACCTCTCCTTTGCTTCTCGCAGGAGTCGCGTTCCCAGGAGCAACAGCTCAGAAGACGCGGTCGGCGCACAGGAGGCTCCCGCTCCCGCACCCCGACCAGTCGGCGGCGGGATGTCTGTGGTGGGCATTGACCTCGGCTTTCTCAACTGCTACATCGCGGTAGCGCGGAGCGGCGGCATCGAGACCATCGCCAATGAGTACAGCGACAGGTGTACCCCGTAAGTGCCTTGTCCGGCCCCAGCCACGGCCCTAACGTCAGGTCCCGCCTGATGGCCCGGGATGACAGGTGCAGCCCACCAGCTGCCGTCTCGTCTCGGGAGCCCGCTGCCGGGCGGGCGCAGGTGCGCGTCGCGCTGCCTGCTCCGCGAGGCACCGGGGACTGAGCTCGAACAGTTTGTGCATCTCCCCTGTCTGCTCGCACCCCGCCTCGTTCCCCAGCCGCCCTGGCTTAGTTGCCGGCAAGGGCTGGGCTGGGATCCTTCCGACGCAGTGGAGAGAGGTCCCGGTTACTTGCAGGGGGCTTGCGGGAAATTCTCGGCGGTGGGCGCGCCCCCCGCCCCCGCAGCGGGGTAAAGAATTGTGCGTGCCTTCTGCCCGCCCTTCTCTCTGCACGACAGCTTTCCCGCAGAAAAGTAAGACATGAAAGCTTAGCCTGCACACATCAGAGGATGAGTTATAGGATCATCCGGCCCAGGAAGCTCTTTTTTTTCTGTTTGAGCAGCAGTTGAGGTGTACAGGGTTTTACCCCAGTGTCCTTGAGAATTTCGGGTAATGGCCCGGTTTCCAGGGGCGTGTTGATGGTGCATTAACAGAGAGAAGCTGGGAAGGGAGCCCCTAGGCTCTTGTATGGGTAATGTACAGCCTTTAATGGGAAGTGAAGTCAGAACCTATCCAAAGCTTATTTCTGCAGAATGAGTTGTTGGAGAGTCGGAGGCGGCTGTCCTGTATAAACAGGATTGAGGAGTGATTTTGTTGCGAACACTTGATGAAAGACTTAAAAAAAGGAGTGGCATTATGTCATGGAAACATGTTCCAACACGTTCCATTGTTTCTCTGGTCTGGGAAGTTTGTTGCCAAAGAATGTAATTAAGACAGGGATATGAAAAATTGACTTCTTATTGTAGGCTGCTGTTACCGGTCATTTTATGTGGAAACCAAGTTCCCTTGTCTTCTATGGAAAAGTAATTAAACATATTAATTTGACCCTTCGGAATGGCCCAAAATATAATAAATATAAGACTAAATGATTAAATTACTACAGTTCTATGAATACTTTTTAAGTATGTCAAGATGTCGGAGGTTAGCTTGCTTGAAACTGGTTTCTTTGAAGAATATTCTAGAAGGTTTTATATTACCTTTTCCAGACAGGCTTTATATTTCTATTGAAATTTTGGATCTTTATAGACTCAAATATGAGCATAGGTGAGTTAATCTTATAGAACTGTTAGAACTCTTCCTTTACTTTAAAAAATGTTTTTCATATTCCAGTTGCTGACGTCAAGGTAATATGACACAGGTATTTTCTAAGATGCAAATATATTATAAAAGGATTCTGTGGAAAAGGGAAAGAAATGCTCAATTTACTTGGTTTCGGCATCCATACATTTTCACATTTGTTTCATTCCTGAACATACCTGATTATGTGCTTGGGAGGATACTTTGTATAAACCGAGGACAGTTGAAGGAAACAAATAACTGCTTAATTTTGGCCTACAATTAAGCCAGGTAATTTAACCAATTAATTCTTCAGATATCACCTATATGAAGTTGGAGTGCTTGTACTAGTCTCATATCTTGCATAAATTGAAAAAAAATTAGCTTAATATTTTAACAGTTTCTTAAAAATTATTACAGAAATAGTACATGATCATTGTAGAAACACAGGCACATTAAAAGAGGAAATTAAAAAGTATAATTTTTCCACCCAGAAATAAAACTTGGATGATTTTCCCTGTGTGTGGTTCAAGAGTGGACTTTATTCTGCTTGGTACCTCTTTCTATCTAAAACATATATTTTACACTAATTTTATATTGAATAGTCAGGTGGTTTATATTTTCTTTTTATAAACACTGTGGCAATAACTTTATCTTTGTGACTAAATTTTTTATCTTTAATTCCTTCAGATAAATTTCTAGAAGGAGAATTAATGCGTGCACACTTGAAAGGCTTTAGATATGTTTGTATTGTTCAATTAAGTATAGATGTGGGGATTGGAATTTCCATTCCAGGCTTAATTTATATCAAAGTGATTAATTTCACGCATATAAAAAGAAACTACAGCCAAGGATCCTCATTCAATGTCAGATTAAAACGTGGTCAAGTAAAACATGTTGCTTGTGTTAATAATAGTACCTGCACTGTCATATATATATCACTAATTCTGTTACTTTGGTACTGCTAGCTATCTTTTCTCATAAGAAATGTAAAGAAAATTAAGTATCTTGGCCAAGAACTAGTAAACAATAAAACAGTTTCAGCCTGCTTATATTCCAGAACCCCAGTGTCCTTCCATTATCTACTGACATAAGGACGGTATATACAGACTAGGTTAACAGGGATGTAACGATCAAAGGGATAAATTACCTGGGCAGTTACTGTAGAGAGAAGCATCTTTGCTCTAATATCAACACATTTATCTATTTTGGGATAGTTTCTAAGCAATATTACCTTGCTTTAATAAGCTTTTAAGTTATTTTAATAATATAAAAATTTATTTTGTATAAAAATCATATATACTAACACAAAATATGTTAGTGGAAACAAAAGAAAGCAGTGTGGAAGATTATAAACTATTAACAATAGATGTTTCTTGGAGATAGAATTAGGGAGGGTGTGTTTTTAATGCATAGTCTGAATGTTTTAAATTCTTATGAATATATTTTACAATAAGGAAAATTGATTTTCTGAATGAAACTACTATTTCAAGATATTTTTGTTAGGTGTATTGTTTTATCATCAAAATTCTGTTTGATCGGACTTAATATTCAGTTCCTCGATTACTGATAACTGCTAGTCCTCCTCCCATCAGTTCACACTGTAGTCAAAATGATCTTCAAACTCTCCCCTACTTCCTTCTCATTATCATTGAGTCTTCCCTCAAATCTCATCAATTCCTCGGATAAACCTTTCCTGATGCTCCGCCTCTCTGTTAATTCCTGCCATTTCCTATTCTCATAGTACTATTTGTACCCTCTGTTGTAGCACCTAGTTTATTTCATTTGTGTGAGACTGTGGCATTGTAAGTTCCAAGAGAACAAAAACCATGTCTTTTTTTCCCCTCACTGTTATATCTCTAGTAACTAAACAGAGTGCTGGACACATAGTAGGTACTCAGTAAACATCAGTTGAATTATCTAAATAAATTTACCTGCTTGACTTCCATGAAAATCCATTGGTCCTCAATACAACAATATCTTGTTCAGTCCTTGAAAAGTACTGTTTTGGGATCTTTTCTCCTCATTTTGTATTATATATAAACATGGTCTTCTCTTCATTATTCAGAAGCCTTTAATGAATTCCCATTAGCTATTAAAATAAACTTCAAATTTATAATCTGTCATATGAGACCCTGTATAATCCAGCCCTGGTACTATTTATCAGAATGTCATGTGAAACTAACCAAGTTATTTTTACTAGTCCCGCAATAAGTATTACCCTTAGAAACCATCTTTATTCAGTAAATATCTTTACTATATACCAGGTAATGATCTAGACCAGTTCTATCCAATAGAACTTTGTGTTCTAATGTATTTCTTTTCTGTTCTATGTATATTCAGTTCTTCGTGTACTCACTGGCCAAATATGGCTGTTAAGCACTTGAAAGTTGGCTATTGAGCACTTGAAATGTGACTAATGTTGAGGAACTAAAATTTCTATTTTAACTAATTTAAATTTTACTAGCCACATGTGGCTACCATATTGGACAGTACAGATCAAGGCAGTGGGCATACATTAGCTACCCTCATGAAGTTCACACCCCAGTATGGTGATACAGTCACTAAAAAAATATTTGTATCAGATGGTGATACAATATGAAGAAAAACAAAATTGGGTAAACAGGAAATGTATGTGTTGAGGAGGAGTAGGAATGTTACTTATGTAAGACAGGAAAGGTTCTCTGATAAGCTGACATTTGAGCAGAGACATGAAAGAAGTGAGAGCAGAAACCATAAGGATATATTTAGAAGTGTTCCAGAAAGGGAGAATAGCAGGTACAAAGGCCCTGAGGCAGAAGTGTTCTAGAAATAGTAAAGAGATCAGTGTTCCTAGGTTGAAGTTAAAGGGTAGACAGCCAAGGACTATATCCTAAAGGGCTTTATTTTCCTGTTGGGGGATGTAAGCTTTTATTTTGTGAGACAGGACACCATTGGAGGGTTTTAAGCAGAGGAGTTAGTCTTTAAGAGGATTACTCTGGGTATCATATTGAAAATAGACACATACCAACATATTGGAAAAGTCCTTCTCAACAAAACACTTTAAAATGCTTTCTCTTCTTTCAAGTCTTAATTCAGAAATCACCTCTACTATTTGCTTTTCTTAAACCCTATTATCTAGATGTGATTGGTCTCTTTTTTGCTACTATCATTCCTAATCCTATTTTGATTTTTTTCAGGAGACCATAAATTCTCCCGAGTGATTATAGCTAGTATACACACAGTGTCTATAACATTTAATCAACTGTTTGTTGATTAAATGAATAGTTATCTGTTGTTACAATGGAAATCATGGAAATACTTTCTTGAATCCATTACATGAGAGAGTATTTTAATAATAATGTTACTCTAGACTTGCTTTTATAAGCGGAATTACACATAAATGCTGAAATAAAAACATGAATCACATGTTCAAAATATTTACCTATATTTACTTATTTAATCCTTATAACCCTAGGAGTAGGTTATCTTTAATCTTCCAGATGGGAAACAGAGGAAATAGTGATTAGATAATTTCCACAAGGTTCTTTAGCTGTTACATGGCAGAGCCAGGATTTAGATCCAAGCAGCCTGTCCTTACTGAATACAGTTAATTTTATTAGTAGGTCATAGACCAGTAGAATTTGAAAAACAATTTAGGACCAACATAGTATTGCTACCAAGCACTTTTAAAAAATTATAACATGCCCTGGCCGGTTTGGCTCAGCGGTTAGAGCATCGGCCCGCAGACCAGAGAGTCCCGGGTTTGGTTCCGCTAAGGGCACATACCTCGGTTGCAGTTTGTCCCCAGCCCTGGTCAGGGTTGTGTGGGAGGCAACCAGTCGATGTGTCTCTCTCACATAGATGTTTGTCTCTCTCTGTCTCCCTTCCACAGTATCTAATGATAAATGGAAAAGTATCCTTGGGTGAGGATTTAAAAGTAAAAACTATAACATTTACTCTAACCACAATTCCATTTCTTATGAAAGTTTAAAAATATGTAAAATTCTGATTTTAGTTACCCTCTTTTTTTTTTTTTTTGTTAATCCTCACCTGAGGATTTTTTTTTTTTTTTTCCCATTGAATTTTACACAGTGGGGAGAGGGAGGGAGAGGGAGAGAGAGAGGGAAAGAAAGAGACATATCCACTGGTTGCCTGAGGTCCAGAGACACCCGGGTTCGGTTCCTGCTAAGGGCATATACCTCGGTTGCAGTTTGTCCCCGGCCCTGGTTGGGTTGTGCGAGTGGCAGCCACTTGATGTTTCTCTCTCTCTCTCGCTCCCACTCTATCTGAACAAAAAATGGAAAAATGTCCTCGGGTGAGGATTTAAAAAATAATAATAAAATAAAATAGTATATGATTATATTAATCCTTTTAATTTATTTTTATGTAAGGTGAAGCAGAATAATAGCACTGATATAAAAATAACATGGGAAAAAATTTTGTGTTTTTCCTGTTTTAGGGCCTGTATATCTTTGGGATCGAGAACTCGAGCCATTGGAAATGCTGCTAAGAGCCAGGTAAATTGTTAATGTAGATATTTTGATTTATAGGAAGAATTAACTGAATCTTGGTAACTAATCTCCCATTTTATGTAATTAAGAGTGAAAACAGAGTAGGGACAATAAGACAGATTGTGAATCTCTGTATTTTATTAGATAAATTTTGCTTTGATTTGTAAAATATTTTAAAATTTTACTTATTAAAAATTCTTAATTGCAAAGTTAGGATGTGCTATCATGTGGCATCAGGTTTTCACTGAATGGTCACTTTCTCTGGGATAGCCTATCTAGACTATACACTTCAACAACAGGTGAACAATGTCTTGGTAACAGAAGATAGGGAAATGGAGGAACTAATTTTCCAGAGTAAACCAATGTGGCTACCAGTGCTTTACATGGAATTTAAGTATTCATATTTCTAGGCTTCTGAAATACAATGGTAGCACATTTACTTTTAATGTTCTGAGCTATAGGTTCATTGTTTGTGGACTTTGTTTATTGCCCTGAACCAAAAGTTCTTAATTACTTTTTAAATTTTAATATATACCCTGGTCTTTTCTTTGTCATGACTTTGTAGGAATAATTGGCTCATATATCTAGGAATTTTTGCTTACAATGTTTGTCAAGGTTGTTTTATAGTTGGTCTATATATGAGTATGTTCATATCTTTTACTTTCATTTGTATATAAACAAATGTTGAGTTGGTGCTAAAATAACCCTTCACTGAAGTTTACACTTTATATTCTGGCTGATCTTCTAAGTGTATCATAGATATCAGAGTCTCTGAAGAAAGCAAACTGTAAAGTTATTTCTCCTGAAGAGCAAAAGACCAACATGGTAATTCAGCCATTCCTGCAGTTTTCATCTCATAAATGACGATCAACATCTATTTGGCTTTTAAAGGTCACTAAGAGGGCAACAAATGGATCTCATTAATATTTCATAGTTAGAACTACTTGTTCTAGTTAAAGAAAAAACTACTTTGCCAAAATACAGCCATTTACAAATGGACACTTTAACTTAGCACCATGCTACATGAAAGGAGTTTTAATGTACTAGCCCAGGAGCAGTTCTTAGCAATGGAAGCAGCACAGCAGTACATGAGGAATTTCACAAAGAATTAAATATGTGGAGGAAAAGAAAAATGGGACAATAAAAAACATTTTGAAAATATAGAAATAAAAGTGAAGGAAATAAATCAAAGATGCTAATTTACTAGAGCAGTGATTTTCAATCTTTTTCATCTCATGGCACACATAAAGTAATTACTAATATTCTATGGCACACCAAACATATTTTTTTTGCTGATCTGACAAAAGAATAGGTATAATTTTGATTGATTTACAAAATATATAATGAAATAATAATTACCTACCCTTCTTGCTCCAAAGTGATTTTTTTTAAAAAATCAGGTGCCTGTACTTGTATATAAGGATTTCGGGTACCAAGAATTAACCAATCAGATGTAACCTTACTACGTGACATAACTAATAAGATGCAAGTCTATTTATTATATGACTTATGGTCAGGAAAGGGCATTCACACTGGATGGCTATGGTTGGGTTGGCTGTTGTCATTTTTTTATTTGACAATCTAGAAAGAGGTCAGTGCCCCTGACTAGTCAGGTATTGCATGTTTTAAAAATTCTGTGGCACACTGAAAATTGCTGTAGTAGAGCAAAAGGGTTTAGGAAAACCAAAGACATGGTTGTAGATAGATTTTTATTATTTGAAATATTTTAAGTTTTAGCCCTGGCCAGTTTAGCTCAGCAGTTAGAGCGTCCAGAGAGACCCGGGTTTGGTTTCCGCTAAGGGCATGTACCTCGGTTGCAGTTTGTCCCCGGCCCTGGTTGGTGGTAAGGGTGGCAGCCACTCGATGTGACCCTTTCACATCGATGTTTCTCTCTCTCTCTCTGTTCCTCTCTCTCCCTCCCACTCTATCTGAACAAAAAATGGAAAAATGTCCTCGGGTGAGGATAAAAAAATATATATATTTTTTAAGTTCTATCCTTTCTTTTTTGAAGACATTAGTTTTACATCTAAAACTAATAGGAAAGGAGGAGAATTTGGGTGAAGGTGGGAGCGATGGTTAAGATGCATACATTCTCATTGTATAATTTTGTTGTTGTTAACCCGAGGATATTTTTTCCACTTTTTAGACAGAGAAGGGGGGGGGGGTGAGAAGGAGAAAGAGAGAGACAACGATTGGTTGCCTCCGCATGCACCAAAAGGGGCGAGGGCTCACACCTGCAACCTGGGTATGTGCCCTTGACTAGGAATTAAACGCAAGACCCCTTAGTGCCTAGGCTGACACACTGTCCACTGAGCTATACCAGCTAGGGCTCATTGTATAAGTTTACTATTAGTTGGAAATCAGAAAAAGGAATGAATGTATGTAATTCTTAACCTTGAGAGGTGTAGGATAAAGAGACTTTGTGTTTCACAAGTATTAGCATAGTGTTTATTTTGCATCAATTTGGTAATTGATAAAATGTTTACTGCCAACAGATAGTCACGAATGTAAGAAATACACTCCATGGCTTCAAAAAGCTTCATGGCCGATCGTTCGATGATCCCATTGTGCAAACTGAAAGGATCAGGCTTCCTTACGAGCTGCAGAAGATGCCGAACGGAAGTGCAGGAGTGAAGGTAAGCTTTATATTCCCAGGGTGCAAACAGATACTTAAATTAAAGAAACAAAACACCATAATACTGACTACTTGTAATTTAACCTTTTTCCTCTGAAAGTAGTACATATGTGGCAAGATACAGGCAGTTTTTTAGTAAGCTTTAGTGAGTGCAGAAAAATTATTATAATTTAGATAATCCTTTTAATCCAAACAGTACTTTTATTATAAAGGAACGATGATTAATATTGGGAGAACTTTTTAGAGGTGAACTGTTTTTGAAGAATAAAGACAGAGGCAGCATATGTGATTTAGAAAAATAGGCCCTAAAAGTATGTTAATTGCCATAATGAGTTTTCTCTAATTTTGAAGAATCTTGTAACTTATTAGAAATATTTTAAAGCAAACTCCGCTTCCAGGAAAGAGATGGAGTTTGGATATTTAATTCTACATCCTGAGACAGTAAGTTATCTACTGGTTAACAAAAACATGTTTTTGTTGATTTTTCAAAAACTAACAGAATACTGTACCTCAAAACATATAACCCAGCAGTTCCACTCTTAGGTATATACATTAAAGATTTGAACCATATGTGCACAGAAAAACTTGTACACACTTGTACACAAATGTTCATAGTAGCATAATTCATAATAACTAAAAAGTAGAAACAACCCAAGTCATCAACTGATGAGTGGATAAAAAAAATGTTTTAAACCTATACAATGGAATATTAATTAGCCATAAAAAGAAGTGAAGTACCAATATGTACTACAACATGGATGAACCTTAAAAACATGCTATATGAAAGAAACCAGATGGAACACATATCGTATGATTCCATTTATATGGATGTCCATAATCAGGCAAATCAATAGACATAGAAAGTGGATAAGCGGTTTCTAGGGGTAAAGAAGAAGGGGAAATGGGGAGTAATTGGGAATGGGTGTACAGGACTTTTTTTAGGATGATGAAAATGTACTACAGTTAGTGGGGATCAGTGTACAACTTTGTGAATATACTAAAAACTGCTCTATACAACAAGTATGAGCTTTATGCTATATGAATTATATCTCATTTTAATAATTTAAACTAAATATGTTTTGAGGCTATGCACATACTTTCATTTTTAGAAGAGGGCTGTAAGTACAGAATGGACGGTGAATTATAATAAGACATGAAGCTGTTAAAATAATTCAAAGACATGAGAGGTTAAAGACAAGGAGACAAATAGGGAAGCCATACTTCAAGTGAAATTTGAGAGTCAAGGGTTGCTAACTAGGAAGCTAGATGGATTATGATAGCAATAAATGAGATAAAGAATAATAATCAGATATTTCTGGTTAATGACGGTGTGAAGAAGTTTTATTTGAAATGACTTTATTCATTTGTATTTATTTAAAAAAATTTTTAATCATGCTTTGTAAGTAGTTTGAGAAAAACAAAATAATTTTTTTTTAAAGAAGACCAAACTGAATTTTTGAGTGATATAATTTTATGAGCCAAACCAGCCAGGGCTGAACTTGCTTTTAAATTGATTAAATCAATATCAATCTCAGCTCTGTTTCAGAGTAAATTTTGTATCATTATGTACACACATTTATACGCACTTATGAACATACATACATTGTGCTGTTTGAGGGAGAAGATTTTTAAAGCTCTTCCAGAGTTTAGTGTTGTAGAAATAAACTTACTCTATTGGAGATGGAGAGGTAAAAGACATTGCGTTTTCCTCAGTATGTTAAATGTAGTCATTATGTAGATTCTGAAGTAACTTTCTGTCACTAATAACTTTGTGATTGTAATTATAAAAGGTTTTGATTACTTGAGTGAGCACAGACCCTCCACTATTTCTTGGTCCGGAAGCTCAGTAACATTTCATTACATGTGCTTGACGGCAGCCTAGCCTTACCCGTGTATGAAATACGGTAGTTATTGGGTCAAAAAGTAATATTTAAGTTCAATATATATACAATCGCTAATGTTTAATTTGTAATTATCTCCAGAAACCTTGGAGTAATAACACTTTTTTTAAGTAAGAAAAAAAAAATGTTTCCCTTTGATGTTCTCACTTCCTTTTCCCAAAACCGTATGAGTAAAGCTTTTATTTTAAACTCAGCAAGAAGTATAACTTTCAAAAGAAAGATTATTTCATCTTTTTCTTCTTTTTTGTTAGCTAGGAAATTGATAAAAATTGCTTTTGTGGGAGGTGAGGCTCTGGAGCAGGTAAAGACACTTTTGAAAATAATTTGGTTGTAACACTGTGTTAGGCACTGAAACTTCAGAACTAAGGTTGTAACACTAAAACAATGTTTTTGGAATAGAACTTCCTTCAGTAAGGACATTGCCTCTTTCATGGTTCTATATCCATCATGTATAGTAGATTTTCACAGAATATTTGTTGGTTAAATAAATAACTCAATAAAAATCTCAACTTTTGCTTTTAGGTGCGGTACCTAGAAGAAGAGAGACCTTTTGCTATTGAGCAAGTTACTGGAATGCTGTTGGCTAAGCTTAAGGAGACTTCAGAAAATGCTTTGAAGAAACCAGTGGCTGACTGTGTGATTTCAGTAAGTTTCACTTCAGTAATGAATAATCTTGAATCATATTTTCCAGTGTTCTCTAGTCCTCCCTTATTCACAGGGGTTAAGTTCCAAGACCCCAAGTGGATGCCTGAAACCATGATAGTACCAAACCCTCTATCTATACTGTTCTTTTTCATATACATACATACCTTTTCACTTAAAGAAAGGAAGCACTTTATAGTTTCTCTTGGGCATATTCGAATTGCCAGCATCAATACTCTTGCACCTTGGGGCCATTATTAAGTAAAATAAGGGTGACTTGAACACAAGCACTGCTATGCCACAGTAGTCAATATGATAACTAAGATGGCCACCAGGTGTCCCTTGGGTGGATAGTGTATGCAGCATGGATGGATACTCGGGACAAAGTGATGATTCACCCAGGCAGGACAGAGCACAAAATAGTGCTAGATTTCATCACACTACTCAGAACAGCATACAATTTAAAACTTATGAATTATTTCTGGAGTTTTCCATTTAGTATTTTGGAAATACTAAATACTAGACCTTGGTTGACCATGGGTAACTAAAACCATAGAAAGCAAAACCATGGTTTAAGGGAAACCTACTGTATTAATCTTAACGATGTTTTTCTTTCCTTTCTTTACTTTTTCTGCCCTTATCTAGTAAATTACCTAAATCCATTTTCACTCTTACATGAAAAAGAAATTACCTTATTTGGTAAAGTTTAGGGTTGAGTTTCCCAAAAGTTAATTGTGATAATCAATGAAATAAAAAAATAAATAAATAAAATAAAACTGATGTGATTAGTGATTGCTGTAACTGCCACTTACCCCTAAGAATCTTTCCAGGGAGCACTGAACTTCCCACCTCTAGGGATTCTAGCATGTTATGATGAAGGCCGAAAATACTCACATGGAACTTTTAGATTGTGTTTATTCTGTATCAGAAAGAAAAGATCTTTTTTTTTAAATGATAAATTGGACATATTTATTTGTTTTTGTTTTTTTTTATCCTCACCCAAGGACATTTTTCCACCTTTTTATTCAGATAGCATGAGGGAGAGAGGAAGAGAGAGAGAGAGAGAAACATTGACGTGAAAGGGACACATCGAGTGGCTGCCACCTGCACGACCCAACCAGGGCCGGGGACAAACTACAACCGAGATACATGCCCTTTGCTGGAATCGAACCTGGGTCTCTCTGGACCGCAGGCCGACGCTCTAAATGCTGAGCCAAACCAGTCAGGGCTGGACATATTTAAAATACCTTCTTTCAGAAGTTTTTTTTTTTTTTTATCCTCACCCGAGGACATTTTTCCATTTTTTGTTCAGATAGAGTGGGAGAGAGAGAGAGGAAGAGAGAGAGAGAGAAACATCGATGTGAAAGGGACACATCGAGTGGCTGCCACCCGCACGACCGACCAGGGCCGGGGACAAACTGCAACCGACGTACGTGCCCTTAGCGGGAACCGAACCCGGGTCTCTCTGGACCGCAGGCCGACGCTCTAACCGCTGAGCCAAACCGGCCAGGGCACATTCTTTCAGAAGTTTTGACATATACATAGACCCATGAAACCATCATCACTATCAATATAATATACATATTCACCACCACCCAAAAGTGCTACATGATGCTTTGATACACATACATTAGTGAAATTAGAGCAGTCAAGTTAATCAACATATCCATCTCATATAGTTACCTTTTTATTTATTTATTTTTTGTGATGAGAGCACCTGATACCTACTTTCTCACACAATTTTCAGATTACAATATCATTAATGATAGACCTCGTGCTGTACATCGGATTTCTAGAACTTACTCATCCTATAAAGCTGAAACTTTGTACCCTTTGGCCAATATCTCCCCATTGCCCCACCTCCCTGCCCCTGGTAACCATCATTCCACTCTGCTTCTATGAAGTCAGCTTTCGTAGATTCTACATGTAAGTGATCTCATGCAGTATTTTTTAGAAAGAAAAGATAGTTCTTTAAGGATTCTTAACAAAACAATTATTTATCTTATCTCTTGAGATTCAATTATATATTGATAACTAGTTTTTAAGTTACATGTTGTCACCTAAATGTGAATTTATTTCTGATGCTATTAAACTTTACTACGTGAGTTCAAGAGTCTGTGTCATCAGAGAAATAGCAGATTATGAACTCTTCAGTGAATTTGGTAATTAGGTTTTTCAATAGGTATTTGGAATTTTTAAATGAGAGAAACATTGAAGCTTGATATTTTGTTTTTCAACCATTTAGTAAGAGTACATAAGAGTTTACCATTAACCAGGCACTAATATATATTTACCCATTTGATCCTACAAACCACTCTATGAGGTATAAATCTAATTTTTTTTTTATCCTCACCCGAGGACATTTTTGCATTTTTTGTTCAGACAGAGCGGGAGGGAGAGAGAGGAAGAGAGAGAGAGAGAAACATCGATGTGAAGGGACACATCGAGTGGTTGCCACCCGCACGGCCAACCAGGGCCGGGGACAAACTGCAACCGAGGTACATGCCCTTAGCGGGAACCGAACCCGGGTCTCTCTGTACCGCAGGCCGACGCTCCAACCGCTGAGCCAAATCGGCTAGGGTGGTATAAATCTAATTTTACAGATTAAAAAACTGAGGCGTGGAAAAGCTAAATAACTTGTCCAAAATCAACACAGTTAATAAGTAGTAAAGCCAGAAATCAAATCCTGATATGAATTCCCAGGTCTATGCTCATAACTCATCCATCATACTGACTTGAAAATATATGTCAGAGTGGTGCAAATTTTAAAAATTCTTCTCAAATTCACATCTATACCTATTTATTGATTTATTTTATTATTATTTTTTAATCCTCACCCGAGGATATTTTTCCATTTATTTTCAGAGTGGGAGGGAGGGAGAGAGAGAAACATTGATGTGAGAGGGACACATCGACTGGTTGCCTCCCGCACAACCCTGACCAGGGCCAGGGATGAACCGCAACCAAGGTATGTGTGCCCTTGGCCAGAACTGAACCTGCTACTCATTGGTCCACAAGCTGATGCTCTACCACTGAGCCAAACCAGCCAGGGCAATCCCTGTTTGTTTATATTGATTTTACTCTCATGTCAGAAATTAGTGCCAGAGTAGAGCATTATGAACTTCTTGGCCAGTATTAACTTTGTAGTTAGTCCAATAGATGCATTGTGAGCTATACAAGGGTATTTTCTCTGTTTTACACACTACTACATTCCTAGTAGCTACAAAAGTACCTGATACATAAGTGCTCAGTGAATATTAAATGACCTACATATAATTTAGTTTTTGTCAGAAGGATGATACCAAAATCAGGATAAACAAGCTTTTCAAAATTCAAGTTCTTTTCAGTTCTTTTTAATATCTGTTAAATGAAATTTCTAAATTCAAAAAGCAATAAAATTGGAGTAGTCCAGTTACCTAAAACCTAAATTTGGAAGAGTCCTAAATCATATTGTACATGAATATACTTAATTAGTTTTTTAGAAATCTCTTTGTGGACCAAATCACAGTGCTTCTTAGTTTGATAGAACCAAGTATATATAAATCTTAATTATAAATTTAAGCCTGAGTTTTAGTTTTTAATAGAAATATATTTAATATTTCTTGGTGATCTTAAAAGAAACATTATCATCATAAGTCTCCTGCAATCTAATACCCCCTTCAAATATAACATTTGGAATTATATTCTTCTGGTAGCACATACATAAAAAGAAAATCATGTTATACATGCCTTTTTCCCAAAAGTATTACAGATGCTATTCTGTAGCAATTCAGATCTACCTGATTCTAACAGCTACATAGGATTTCATTATGTGAATATACCATAATATATTTCATCTCATTTTAACAGACTTTTTCATTTTTAGTTTTTCATATGAAAGATGAACAACTATATTTTTTCATAGGCCAGACCAACGTAAGAAGGATTTAGACTAATATATTTTGGAAATCTTGCACTGTTATTCCATCTTATTAATTACTTTAAATTTGTGTTTGAACTTTAGGTCAACATTTTATGGTATTGAATAGCCAAACTTAAAGAGCATATTTTCTCATTTATTTAATTAGAACACCATTCTTTGCCCTAAGCTTTAAATAAATTTTAGTGCAATTATTTTACATTTGTTGGTTGATGAAATGTTTAAGTAAAATATATTACATTAAATTAATACACTTAATTATTGTTTTTAAATACCAGATTCCTAGCTTTTTCACTGATGCTGAGAGAAGGTCTGTGATGGCCGCGGCCCAGGTTGCAGGTTTAAATTGTCTAAGATTGATGAATGAAACTACTGCAGGTGAGCACTTTGCAATTTGAAATCACAGTCCGAAAAACACCTTTTTTTTTTTTTTTTATTGTTATGTGCTGGTTCTTGTAAGCTTGTCATTTTGTAATACAACATTTCTGCATGTTTTACATTGGCTATAAGAATCATTACTATTATAGAATTATAGATGGGTAAAAAAATAACATTAAGCAAACTATGAAAAGTTAGTTTAGTTTGAAATTAATAATTTGTATTACTCTACTGTGTATTAAACTGTGCAGTATCAAAGTGATTTATCTATTTTCCACATGATTGCTATGCTGGAAGTAACCTAATTCTTTGTTCTTACACAGTTGCACTAGCATATGGAATTTATAAACAGGATCTTCCACCGTTAGATGAAAAACCAAGAAATGTAGTATTTATTGACATGGGACATTCTGCCTACCAAGTCTCAGTTTGTGCTTTTAACAAAGGAAAACTTAAAGTAAGTAAATAAGTGATTTGTAATATTTTACTTTAGTGATTCAGAGTACATAAGACTATATAGAGAACCTTAATGTCTGGGTTTAAATTTTGCCTCTGCCATATAAAAACTGACCTTGACCAAGTTACTTAACCTCCCTTAAATCTCAGATTTCTCACCTGAGAATAATATCAGTAACTCAGAATTTTTGAGGACAAAGTGAGTTAACGTTTATAAAATGCTTGGAATGACATATAATAGATTATATAATATGCGTTAGCTATTTGTATTGTTGAAGTGTTACATCAGCTATCAGGGAACATAAATTTACATATTAATCTATAAATATACTTTGGAAATATTTTCTAAAATGATTCCATTGTTTTTAGAAACTTTTATATCCGGGAGTCCTAATCAAAATTTTCTGCAGTGTGGCATTATTTATTTCTATATGCTTATCTTCTTGATCCTCTGTGTTTGGTTTTATATTTATTATTACAATGATTATCTTTTCCAGACTTGCACATTCTCTATCTTTATTTCTTATTCTACGCACATGTGTAGAATTGACATAGAAGATGAAATACTTTGGGTTATGCAACACCTCTTAGAACCTTTTGTCTTACAGTTTGTATTACTATAACATCATCCTTGTAGTCAGAAAATTAAATGGAGATACTTCACACTGAATGTAGGGTAGTTTTCTGTAAATTGGTTTAATCCTTGGTAGTTTGTCTTGAATTTTAACTTAAGGAAATTAGAACATTTTCCTTCCTTTTTAGTGGGTACCTTAGATTAGTGATCTATAATTTTAGATCATAGACCCCTTTGAAAGTTTGATAAAAGTATTGCCTTCTCTCCAGAAGGATGCTCATTCACACAATGCTAGCCCGTAGGGTGACATCCCAGTCAGATTACAGTCATATCCTACTGCCATGTTTACCACTATTCCAGTACCCATCCTTGTGAAAAAAAGCTGACGAAAAACATAGGGGAATTCTGTTTTTCAGTAGACACTTTGTAAGTAGTCATTTCTGCCCTCTACTCTCGGAAGAGAAAACAGATGTCTTGGTCCTATGACTTCAAGAGCTCTAGTGTTGAAGTTCTCTCTATTCCTGTTCTACCCGATAGCTAACTGGGGCTTATTGCTCAGAAAGCTTACCAGGTCAAAGTCTTGTCTCTCCACACTTTTCTGTTTTCTTTTTTGGTCTCTCATGTATTCTTTTGTTTCTTCTGTATTTTCATAAAAATAACCTAGTTTTTTTGTTTTTGTTTTTTCACTCCTCACCCGAGGATATATTTTTTTCCATTTATCTTCAGATAGAGTGGGAGGGTGGGAATGAGAGAAAGAGAGAGAAACATTGATGTGAAAGAGACACATCGATTGGTTGCTTCCCGCAAGACCCAACCAGAGCTGGGACCGAACCGTAACCGAGGTACGTGCCCTTGACCAGAATTGAACCTGCGACTCTTTGGTCTGTGGGTTGACGCTCTTAACTGCTGAGCCAAACTGGCCAGGGTAGAAAAATAGCCTAGTTTTTGTTTTTTAAATAATTGAAGGCCTGTAAATTGACCTGTTATTGTATTTTAGATTTAATCTTTGGATCAGCTTTTCTTTGCTACTTTGTTTTCAGTTATATGCATTGGACTCTTTCTTTGTTCTGTTAAACCTGGTTTTTGGCCTGCCTTTTCAGTGCTGTTGTAGAATTAAAGGATGTAAAATGGTCAAGTTTTAGTTGTTGTAACTCAATTATTTCAGAATTAGAATTATTCTTAAATTATGATATGTTGACCTGTAACCTAAAGCAGATAATTCAGAATGAGTAAATATGTTGGCTAAATATAAATTATAATTAATATAGTGATTTCAAATTTGGCACTCTTGTGATTTTTGACAAGTTTTTTGGCTTTGAGTTAAAAGGTTTTTGGGTTTTTTTATTTGAAAGCATCTATATTTCTGAAAATTCAGTTCTGGTTTTTCCATTAAACAGGTCTTGGCTACTACCTTCGATCCATATTTGGGTGGCAGGAACTTTGACGAGGCTTTAGTAGACTACTTCTGTGATGAGTTCAAGACCAAATATAAGATAAATGTGAAAGAAAACTCTCGGGCCTTATTACGTTTATATCAGGAATGTGAAAAACTAAAGAAACTAATGAGTGCAAATGCGTCAGATCTTCCACTGAACATCGAGTGTTTCATGAATGACCTTGATGTTTCTAGTAAAATGAACAGGTACCATGTATTTTTTCAATTGGGGAAGTGTTTGGTTATTTTATAATGTTCATATTGTGTTGTTTTAGAGAATATGCTAGATTTTTAGGTTTCAAAATAGTGAATTTCATTTCATTTTCCCACAGGGCTCAGTTTGAACAATTATGTGTTTCCCTCTTTGCCAGAGTTGAACCACCATTAAAAGCAGTGATGGAACAAGCTAGTAAGTAGAGATTCTTGGACTAACCATCAAAACTGTATCATGGTGTTAACTCCCTTGAGTAGTATAGGACAGCAATTTTCTACTGGTGTGCTGCAAGAATTTTTAAAACATGCAATTCCCGACTTTTTTTCTCTTTCAGGGGTGGGGAACACCCGGCCCTTGGGCCGTATAAGGCCCTGCAAATCAATACCAGCTAACATCACATGCCTTACCAAGTTAGCCCGACCCAAATATAACAGTCTAATTTTTTTAAGTTGATAATTTTGTGTGGCCTGCAAATGATATTATAAATATCCAAACGGCCCTTGGCAGAATAAAGGTTCCCCACCCCTGCCTTAGATTGTCAAATAAAAAATTAAGAAATAACAGCCACCACAACAATAGCCATCCAGTGTGAATGAATCAAAAGTATACCTATTTTTTTGTCAGAGTGGCAAAAAATTGAATACATTTTTTGGTTTGCTACAGAATTTTAGTGATTAGTTTATGTGTGCCGTGAGATGAAAAAGTTGAAAATCACGTGTAGGAAATGGTAAAACTATAAAACTTCGAGTTTTTTTTTAAGATTTGTATTTCTCATTTTATAGGAGTAGATAATAATTAATTCTTCATTCATAAAACGAGGGCAGTAGAGATCTGGGTTTTTGAGAATTTCTCCTGGTTCATTTTATTGTTTATATCATAAAACTAATGCTAGTAAAAATGTAGGTGTTCAGAGAATAGTAAGATGAAAGTAAAGTAGAAATGGGGACATGCTTGCTTTTTGTTAAAGTTTTTGATAATAAATGTACCTTCTGTGGAAAAAAAAAAGTTACAATTGAAAACTGATTTCAAGGAAAGAAGTGTATTTTTTTATTTACATTACTTTCTATAGGGATTTGGGTGGTGAAAGTTCAAACATTAAACTGGACAGTCCCCTTAAAGCCCATGAAATGCATGTTCTTATTGTCACTCATTCCATCACGAAGTGCAATGCCTGACACATAATTGGTATTTATTAAATTTCGCCTTTTATTCACCTGTCTTCTTTTATCTTGTTTTGAGCAAATGAAAATAATCCATATTTTAACACTTTCCAAGGTCTACTTTTCACATTGTTATAAAGATTACCTTATTTTTCTCAATTAAAAATATTTTACTTTTCAGACTTACAACGTGAAGATGTAAGTAGTATAGAAATTGTAGGAGGAGCAACGCGAATTCCTGCAGTGAAGGAACAAATCACTAAATTCTTTCTTAAAGACATAAGTACCACATTAAATGCTGATGAAGCTGTCGCAAGAGGATGTGCATTACAGGTATGATTATTTTAGAACATACTTTTTCCCAGAAAATATGGTGATAGGTCTAAAAGAAGTTTAAATGTTATCTGTTCTAACCACTTGTCAATATGCTAAAAGTAAATTGAAATTATTCCTGAACAGTAAGTCTTATGTCTTTCCTATTTATATTTTTATTTATTTTTATTAATCCTCACCCGAGGATATTTCTTCCATTGATTTTTATAGAGAGTGGAAGGGAGGGAGAGGAGAAAGAGGGACAGAGAGACATCAATGTGAGAGAAACACATCGATTGGATGCCTATCAAATGTGCCTAACCAGAGCCAGGGATCAAATCTGAAATCTTTAGGTGCTTGAGCTGACCTCTAACCACTGAACTGCACTGGCCAGGGCCCTATTTATATTTTTAAACTATCATAGGACAATATGTCTATAGCTCTACTGAAAAAAGAATATTTTATGAATCTGTATAATTTAACAATCTTTTTTGAGATTTTAAAATATTTTATATTAATTTTTGTAAGGTCACAGAAAGAGTGCTCTGACACTTTTTAATTTTAACTAGTTTTACCATTAAATAGTAATTTTTTCAATGTAACATTTTTATTGCAAGTACTTTATTAAGCAGCTTAATCAGGAGTAACTAGGTTATGTATTGTGTTTGTTGATTTAAATATTGTTTACATCTTATTTGCAGTGTGCGATTCTCTCGCCCGCATTTAAAGTGCGTGAGTTTTCCATAACAGACACTGTTCCCTATTCAATCACATTAAGATGGAAGACCTCTTTTGAAGATGGAACTGGGTAAGCTACTTTTTAATGCTTTGTTTAGAGCTTGTCATAAATAACCAGTTGAACCTATGTTCATAAATTAAAGGAATTTACACTTCTTAAAATTCCCAAACATTTAATAGAATGGTAGAAAAAAAATTTTTAAATTATAATGTATAGGTCATGGTTTTTAAATGTTTTTTTATTATAATAGTAAAACATTCTTATTTTCTAATAAAAATAACAGAATAGAAATATAAAAACTTAAAAACTTGCCACACCCGATCTTCTCCTTAGCCCCTTTCATAGAGCTAACCATTATTAACAGCTAAATCCACTCAATATAGTCTATCTATCTAGCAGTTTTTCTAAATACCAAGAATAAAAGCATGCACTTTTTTTTTAAAGATTTTTTTTATCGATTTTGAGAGAGAGAGGAAGGGAGAGAGAGAGAAACATTTATGGACTACCTCCTACAGGCCCCTACCAGGAGTCAAACCTGAAACCCTGGGCATGTGCTCTGACTGGGAATCCAACTGGCAACCTTGGTGCACGGATCAACGCCCAACCAACTGAGCCACACTGGCCAGGGCAAGCAAGCATTTTTTAAATGCATATATTGATCATCTGTATATTTTTAGTGCAACTTGCTTTTTAAAATATATTCTATATTATCTTTCCATGCCAATAGACAATAACTGTTTTTTCAATAGTTATATGTGCCATAATTAATTTAAGCAATATACTTTAAAGTCATATTCTTTCTGATTTGAGCAGTGCTTTTAAGAATATCCTTCTTTAGTTATGTTTGGTATATCTGTAAAATAACTCTGTAGGAGTGAAATGAGCCAAGTAGTAAGACATTATTTTAACTAATATTGCCAAATTAGTCACTAAAAAGACTTCTCAATTTATATTCCTATTAGTGCATTAGATCATTTTCTCTTATGCCTTTAAATTTAACATTCTAATAGGGAAAATATAATACTTTGTCATTAAATTTGCATTTCTAACTATTGTGAGCTACAGTCTTTTCATACTTTTATTGACAAATACGTTTTCTTTTCCATGAACTACCCAGGATTTAAATAGATTGTTTCTTTACAAAAATAATTTAGTATTATATTTGACTATTTTTCAGAAGTATAGCTTATACAATAAAGTAAACCTGTATTTAGGTTTTGAAGTTACTTCTAAAATATTGTTCTGTGTACTATACTATACATTCACACTTCCAAGAAATTGAAATGTTTGCAGAAATATCAAAAATACGGATTATCGCCCTGGCTGGTGTGGCTCAGTTGGTAGAGCGTCATCCATGCCCTAAAAGGTTGCCAGCTCAGTTCCCAGTCAGGGCACATGCCCAGGTTTCAGGTTTGGTCCCTATACAGGGTGTGTGCAAGAGTGAACGGAATGCATGTTTTTCTCTCACATCAATATTTCTCTCCCTCTTTCTCTCTCTTTAAAAAAGTAAAACTAAAAACTCAGTTTTAAAAAAAACAAAAATACGGATTATCAATCTAATCTGAATGTTTTGCAGAGCATTTAAATGGCATGTGTTTTATGTCAATTTTGAGGCAAGAAATGGTAGTAGTAGTAGTAGTTTTTACTTCTCACCTGAGGATACTTTTCTATTTATCATCAGATAGAGTGGGAGGGAGGGAGGGAAGAAGAGAGAGACCAAGAGAAACATCGACGTAATAGAGCCACATTTACTGGTTACCTCCCACGTGACCTGACCTGGGCTGGGGGTGAACCACAAACAAGGTATGCACGTGCCCTTGACCAGAATCGAACCCTGGACTTAATGGTCTGTGGGCCCAACGCTCTAACCGCTGAGCCAAACCCGCCAGGGCAGAAATATTATTCTTTTCAGTTAAGTTCAGTTAAAGGTATAAGTGATCCAGAAAAAAATATGAGAAAACATATGGGGAGTTAAATTCAAAAGTAAATATTTCGCAGTGAACAAGAATAAGAAAATAGAAGGTAGTGGTGGTAGGTTCTTGAATACCAGGATAGAGAAAAGGCCCATGAATGTGAAATTTTCAAACCTTTTATAATTAATAAGGTAATGCTATGTACTAAAGAATGAGTTTCTGGGACACTGTAAACAATAATCATAGCCTTGCGGGTGTGGCTCAGTGGTTGAGCATTGACCCATGCACCAGGAGGTTGCCGGTTCAATTCCTGGTCAGGGAACATGTCCAGGTTGTGGGCCTGATCCCCAGTGGGGGGCATGCAGGAGGCAGCCAATTGATATTCTCTCTCATCGATGGCTCTATCTCGCTTCCTCTCCCTTACTTTCTCTCTAAAATCGATAAAGAAAAATTGTTTTTAAAAAATCTTCCTTTTAAAAACAAAACAAAACAAAACACAATAGTTATAAACCTGTTAAATAAACCATTTAAGGAATAGGAATTGTTTTGTAGGTTTTAGAATTACCTGTACTGGAGAGAAGAAAATACTACAAATGGCATTATTAAACTTAAAAAATTGAAATATGGATTATACATTAAAGTATCAATATAAATGTATAAAGTTGACAATTATTCTGTGGTTATATTAGAGAATATTCCTATTAGCAAATACACATTGAAGTATTTAGGGGTAAATGGCCATAAATGTATGTAACACCCTCAATTGTTTCAGAAAAAAATGTACACATACACAGTGTGTGTACACTCAGATGATTAAACAAATAGGGTACGATGTTAACAGTAGCAAATCTAAGTAATATACAGGTGTTACTTGTCCTATATTTATTTTTACACCATTCTGTAAATTTGAAATTATTTCCAAATAAAAGTTCCTTTCTAAGGAAACTAGAATAAAAAGGGTTACATATGACACGTATTTTGGAAAGTAATGGGGATAGGATTTTGTCCTCAGATATGAGCAAAAAAATAAAAAATAATCTCTCTGTATTGGCCTTAAGATATACCTATTCTCAGGTAATTTTTCTTTTTGTAGTTGAATTGCTTATTATGATGACAAACGTGCTAAAAATTATGAGGCATAAACCTGTCAAAATGCAGTTTATAGTACAGTTTCTTTTTCTCTACATTTGTGCATAGAGGTCTTTATAATTGCTGCTTATGAAATAAAAATTAGATGGATTCTGTAGTTACTTTTATAGGCAATTTGTTTTGAACTGAGTGTTTTCTCCCTTTTAGGGAATGCGAAGTATTCTGTAAGAACCACCCAGCCCCATTCTCAAAAGTCATTACTTTCCACAAGAAGGAACCGTTTGAGCTAGAAGCATTTTATACTAATTTACATGAAGTGCCTTATCCTGATGCAAGAATTGGTAAGAGAACTCAAGAAAAGACTTTTCATAACTTTTTTACTATTATTTTTCTTATCCTCACCCGAGGGCATTTTTGCATTTTTATCTTGAGATGGAGAAAGAGAGAGAGAAACATTTACATGAGAGAGAGACACTGAGTGGTTGCCACCCACACGACCCCAACCGGGGCCTGGGACAAACTGCAACTGAGGTACATGCCCTTAGCAGGAACCGAACCCGGGTCTCTCTGATCTGCAGGCCGATGCTCTAGCTGTGGAGCCAAGCCAGCCAGGGCTACTTTTGTAAATAATATGTTGCCCTAGCCAGGTTGGCCTGCAGACCAAACTGCCTGCAGACCAAAGAGCACGTACCTGGGTTACAGGTTTGATCCCTGGCCTTGGTCGTGGTTGTGTGGGAGGCAACCAATCACTGATTCTCTCATATCAGTGGTATCTCTCTCCCTTTCTCCTTTCCTTCCACTGTATATGAAATTTAGTGGAAAAATATATTCTCAGGTAAGGATTAACAAAAAAATAATAATATGTTAATATATGAAGTAAGGAAACAAATAAATTGATATTTAAGCTAAGTCAATTTTAAAAGAAAGATATTCCATACCTTTTTCTAAATGTGTACTTATTAGTGCTCAGAGCTTATTTCTGAAATAACAGCAAGTTTGAGGGGTTTTTTTTGTTTTTTGTTTTCCTTTATTGACTTTAGAAAAGAAAGGAGAGGAGAGAAAGAAACATCAATGAGAGAGAACATTGATTGGCTGCATGCCCCCTGGGGATTTGGCCCATAACCTGGGCATGTGCCCTGACTGGGAATCGAACTGGTGACCCCCTCCGTGAATGGGTCAATGCTTAACCACTGAACCACACTGGCCAGGCAGTTTGAGTATTTTTAATTCATTTTGACATCTATATTTAGAATGTTCTATAATTGGCCTGAAAGGTTTGGGTAAACATTTTTTATGGAAAAACTCTAATCAGTAAATTGAAATTGTGCTGCCAGACTTACTATATATTCTGATTTTAAACTTACGCTCACCGGGTTGCAGGTTCGACCTCCAGCACTGGTGCAGCACGTGCGGGAGGCGGCCAGTCAGTGTCTCTGCCTCTCCCTTCCACTCTCTGTAAAAGTCAATGGAAAAAATATCCTCGGGTGAGGATGAATAATAAATAAATTAAAAAACAAAAAACTTATGCTCACTGGCAATAAGTAGAATGAGTATCATTATATTAATATGAAAATGAGAATAGGATACTGTAGTATCCATTTTAGTTGAATAAGTAATCTTCTTAGAAGATACAAAACAACCATGATTTTATATCATTTAAAAGAGAAGGAATGATTTTTAAGTTTTAGAATTCTCTGTTGCTTTTATTGATAGACTAGTAGGGGGCTGATATAACTATTTCAAGGATGTTATTTAAATCAGTAGATATAAATTATTGGGGGTGGTATTAGTTTGCTAGGATTTCTGTGTCGAAGTACCACAGACTGGGTAGCTTAAACAGTAGAAATTTGTCTCAGTTCTGGCTGCTAAAAGTCTGAAAGCAAGGATTGCTTCCCTCTGAGGGCTGTGAGAGGGTCCGCTACAGGCTTCTCTCCTTGGCTTGTAGGCGACCGTCTTCATGTTCACGTGACAGTCTCTCTATGTGTGGCTGTCTCCAGATAAACACACCAGTCTGATAACTGGTTTTGATTAGAGCCCAGCCTGATAGCCTCGTTTTATCTTGATTAACCTCTGTAAAGACCATATCTTTAAATCAGGTCACCTTCTGAGGTATTGGACAGTGGGACTTCAATATATCAATTGAGGAGAGGAGCACAATTCGACCCACAACACAGGTTAATCAGATTTACTACTTAGTTTTTCAGCATATATTGTAGGGTTTTTTTTTAATCCTCACCCAAGGATATGTTTTCATTAATTTTGGAGTGAGAGAGAGAGAGAGAAACAGAAACATTGATCGGTTGCCTCCTCAACTGGGGATTGAACTTGCAACGCAGGTATATGCCCTGCCTGGGAATCAAACCCACAGCTTTTTGGTGTGCAGGATGATGTTCCAACCAATTGAGTCACCCAGCCAGGGCAACATTAGTAGGTTTCTTAAAGTGAAAAATTAATATGATCTCTGTAGGTATTAGTAACTGGATAATAGCAATTTTACTATAGAAAAATCCAGAAAAATTTTAAATCTTTTTATTTACGAATTGCCAAGATGATTATAATTTGCAAAGCTTGTAGCAAAATGGGGTAATTTTATATTTGATTTTCAAACTCAGAAATTAAATTTTATTTTTGTTTTAGACCAATATTATGAAACATCTTTAAAAGTTATATTACTTTGAGTCAGACTGTCCTTGGTTAAAATCCCAACTCTACTTTTTTCTAGCATTGATGATTTTGGGCAGGTTGCTTAACTTTTCGAGTCTTTTTTTTTTTTGAGGACAACTGGTACCTTTATTTTAGTAGTCTGAGTTACATATTTTTTCCAGCTTTTTTGAGATATAATTGACATGCAGCATTGTTTAAGTTTAAGGTGTATGATGCCTTGATTTGATACTCTTACATATATCACAAAATGATACCACCACAGTGTTAGCTAACACCTCCATCACTTTACATAATTACCTTTTTTTTTTTTTGTGGTGAGAACATTTAAGATCTTCTCTTAGCAACTTTTAAGTATATAATACAGTATTGTTAACTATAATAAAGCTGTGCATTAAATCCCCAGAATTGATTCTTCTATCTGGAAGTTTGTATTCTTTGACCAATATCTCCTCATCTCCCCCCGACTCTCCCAGCCCCTTGTAACCACCACTCTACTCTGTTTCTATGAGTTTGGCTTTTTATTATTAATTTCTTTTTATTTATTTTTTTTCTTTATTGATTTTAGAGAGAGAGGAAGGGAGAGGGAGAGACAGAAACATCAATGAGCCAGAACATTGATTGCTGCCTCCTACAAGCCCCCCACTGGGGATTGAGCCCACAACCTGGGCATGTGCTCTGATGGGGAATCAAACTGGCGAACTCTTGGTGCATGGGTCAACGCTCAACCACTGAGCCACACTGGCCGGGCATGAGTTTGACTTTTTTAGATTCTAACTTTTCGAGTCTTAAGTACCAAGTTTATTTAAGTATGTTTGGTGATCTGGGGAAAATACCTGTCCCACAGTAATTAATCTGGATGTGGTAATAATTTTACAGTTATGTGCCAGCATTGGAAAGATGATATTTAAATTATTGAATCTAATGAATGGATTAATATGAAGCCCATGTACTGATCAAAGCTCTTTTTTCTTTAAGGGAACTTCACTATTCAGAATGTTTTTCCACAGTCTGATGGCGATAGTTCCAAAGTGAAGGTTAAAGTTCGCATTAATATCCATGGAATCTTCAGTGTGGCTAGTGCATCAGTAATTGAGAAGCAGAATATCGAAGGGGATCACAGCGATGCTTCTATGGAGACAGAGACTTCATTTAAGGACGAAAGCAAAGATGATGTGGTATGTAGAAAGTCTGTATCAAGTTCCTCTAGTAAAATATAAAATATTTTAATCATAACTGGTACTTTAGTAGTTGAAAACAATCTCTCAGATTTTGCTCTGAAGTTCTGTTGTACGAATCAGTATAAACTTTTTAAATAAAAGCACCAAAGAATAATTCTATTTGAAAAGCTGTACTCTTTCACATTATAACAGATTTCACAGCTCTGTATGGAACATGTGCATTTGTGTGTTCGGAGTCATCTTTCCTAAATCCTTTATTTCCTTTAAAACCATGTACCACCTGTGGCTATCTTTCTCAGTTTACAAATAAAACCAGTTCAGGTTGATAAGTTTTGAACTGTACACACATTTTTTTTTTTTTTTTTATCCTCACCCAAGGATATTTTTCCATTTTTTTGTACAGATAGAGTGGGAGACAGGAAGGAGAGAGAGAAACATCGACGTGAAGGGACACATCGAGTGGCTGCCACCCGCGCGACCAACCAGGGCCAGGGACAAACTGCAACCGAAGTACGTGCCCCTAGCGGGAACCGAACCCAGGTCTCTCTGGACCGCAGGCCGACGCTCTAACCGCTGAGCCAAACCGGCCAGGGCTGTACACACATATTTTTAAGATTGAAAATACATGAGTTTTCAGAGCTCAGGGGATGTTTGTGGCATTTGAGCAGAAGAATGTGCTGTACATTCAGTAATGCTAAAATACATTATTTTTGACAGTTTATTTCTTTCTCTTTTTTTAATTTATTTTTTTAATCCTCACCTGAGGATATTTTTTCATTGATTTTTTTAGATAGAGTGCAAGGGAGGGAGAAAGAAGGATAGAGGGAGAGAAACATTGATGTGAGAGAGACACATCCATTAGTTGTCTCCTGCACAACTCCAACCAGGCTGTGGATTGAATGTGCAACCTTGACTAGAAATCGAACCTGTGACCCTTCGATCCACAGGACTGCTATAGATGACAGAACCTTAGAAGAACATGATTATATTCAATTACACAAAGTTTTTATCTTTTTTATGGATACTATTTTAATGTTTTTATTGATTTCTTAGAGAGGAAGGAAGAGAGAGAAACATCAATGTGAGAGAGAAACATTGATCGGCTGCCTCCTGCACACCCCCTACTGGGGATCGAGCTGGCAACCCTGGCATGCACCCTAACTGGGAATTGAACCCGGACCTCTCTGTCTGTGGGATAACACTCAATCCATTGAGCCACTGGCACTTAGGAGATTTTGTTTTCCAGTCACAATTGGTGATATCTAGAATTTTCATTTATTTGTACATATAAAGAATGGCTATTTGATGTTAGCAGGGTACTAGACTTATCAGGGGGATCACTTTTGTAAGTTATATAAATGTCTAATCACTATGCTGTACACCTGAAGCTAATATAATATGGTATGTCAACTGTAAAAAAAAATGCTTTCTTAAAATTTCAAGACAGTTTCTTCTTGTGAAGGTTGGTTTTTGTGTTTTTATTAGTAATTACTGCAAAATCTTCCAGATTAGATCAGAATTCTACCACTACTCTTTAAAGTACTTTATTTAAGGACCGTGGCATTTTCTTTCTTTCTTCTCACGTATTATTTTGCTGTTAACGTACTTCCTTACCTGAATTGAGAAGGAAATATTCTAATGTGTTATGAAGATACAGTCAAATTTTCATGAATTAATGTAAGAATATTAGGTGAGAAGTTAATTTTCTTGTAGCTCACAATTTTTGGCAGACATGTAAATTTAATCCATTAAGATTAAAATTGAGAGCACTCTATGCCTTGTAGGATGAGTTCTTTGTAACCATTTCACTTTCTTCACTTCTTTTTCTTAAAAGTTTCTGCTGAGACTTCAGTTTTTTTCTGTGTAATGTTAGTGAATCCTGGGCACTAAAAACAAAAATAGTATGGCACCCATTTTCTACCTCCCTAGCGTTTCTAATTTGCTGCTGCTTTTTAATGTACCTGAAATTGGGATGGGTCTTGCAAATGATGATACTTGATATTTAATATTGCTGATGGCAGTAATGATGACAGTTGTCATCACCTGTACAGCGTGAATTTAGTTGTTATTCCTAATGGCAGGAGTAGGCAATTGCTACCCTTGATGTTTCAGTCAACAAATTGTATAAGGATCATTCAAGGAAGGAATACAAGTTCTGGTTGTCTGAAAGCATCCACTGACTCCTGGTAAGATAAAGAAAATACCATCATAACACTTTCAGAATAGGTGTCTAGTGGCTTATAAGAAAATATTAGAGAACCTTACTGGAGCAACTTTTAAATAAATGATCAGTCACTCACTAATGGTTTTGATGGCACAAAGAACATTATAATATAGAAAAATTATAGTGAACTACAGTTCAGTTAGTGATTTAGAGTGATTTAGAGGCATTAGATTCTGAATGTGAAGAAGTTTTAGAACTACCTTAACCACTTCATTTAGTTAACTTGCCTTTAGATATATAAATACATACACACTAGAAGAGCTCTTTGAATATAAAATAGAAATGCTAAGTGATAAAGCATTTGAGGCATTTAATTGGTAGCATTTTTTCTTAGTATTATATGAACTGGAGTTAATGTAATTGTGTCTTCCTACATTACTTCAACTCACCTCTGTCACTTTTTTCACCTCTTCTCAATCACAGGGTTGGAGAAACTACAGTTGGAAGAAATGAGGGTAGTTGAAATATCAGAAATAATTGACCTTTTAACAATGAACACTTCCAGCTTGTTTTTCTCTTTGGCACAAATAAGCATTTATTAAAGATAGCCTTCTGAATATTCTATATGTGCTTAATCCAGATATATTTATTAGAAGACCTAAATTATATTGATTTCTGAATTCCAAGTTTTCTTCTCTTTGGGGTGATGATCAAGGATAAGATTTTAAAAAACAAAAATCTAATACTTAGGATTGTTTACCAAGTGGAGAGTCTATTTTGGCAGTCTTAACTGGTTGAAAGTTTATCTTTTAGACATTAAAAATTTTTTTAACTTTATGTTGTTATAATTCTGAGATATCTACTTTGACAATTTTGATATATTTCCTTCAACATTTTATTATATTTTTAAAATATAATTTATGTAACACATAAATTGTATATCTTTTTCATTTCATTTTCCCATATTAAGTTCTTATTAACACTTTTCATATCAAGTTTAATAAGGTTTTTTTTTTTTTTTTGGTAAGCTTGTTTTTATAAATTTGACTTGAAAATGTTCTCCTTATTTTGCATCTGTTTTGGGGGGGGAGCCACAAGTAAATGAAATAACATTTATTAGCAGCATCAAATAGATCTTTTCATTTTAATTATCTATTATTTGTAATTATTTTCATATGAAAACAAGCTTCTATTTTACTATGTTTACACAGTTCAAAACAGGCTTGAACACTAAGGTGATGTTTATTAAAAAAATAAAAGACACTACAAATACTATTAATTACTTACTTTCTTTTCAGGATAAGATGCAGGTTGACCAAGAAGATGGTCATCAAAAATGCCATGCTGAGCACACCCCAGAAGAAGAAATTGATCATACAGGAACCAAAACAAAGGTTTGTTTCACTATTTCTGTGGTTGTGTCCTTTTGGGATTGATAATTCAAGTCAGTGTATTTACTTTATAGTGCATGGTTTTAATACACTTGATATTTTTCATCTTACTACTATGGAAGCGTGTAAAAAGCACATAACCAGAATACATACATTTCAAAGATTTATATTCTAGAAGATGTTTTGAAGAATGAACTCTGATAATATTATAAGTAAAATTAACTTTTTGGTAGGATAAAATATGTTTTTAGTAACTTCTTTTCTCATTAAAAATCATGCAATATCAGAGAAAATAGAAAATGGAATAACCAAATGAACAAAACTTAAATTAGCAGTAACCCCACATCTCAAAGTTAACTACTGTAAGCATTTGGCTGCATATTAGAAAACATTTTTCTTTGTGGAAAAACAAATATTTGTTAAAATAAAAATATAAAGGATAAACCAGTGTCATTGTTTTACTATGACTTCATTCCTTTCTCATGCTAAGCAAGATAAGTCAAACAGAAAAAATCAAGAACCATGTGATTTCACTTATATGTGAAATATAAAACTGAACAAACTAGACAAAACAAACAAAAACTGACAAAACAGTATCGTGGCTATCAGAGGGAGGAGGGTGCGGGTATTGAAAGGTAAAGGGCCCTGGCCGGTTTGGCTCAGCGGTTAGAGCGTCGGCCTGCGGTCCGGAGGGACCCGGGTTCGGTTCCCGCTAAGGGCACGTACCTCGGTTGCAGTTTGTCCCCGGCCCTGGTTGGTTGTGCGGGTGGCAACCGCTCGATGTGTCCCTTTCACATCGATGTTTCTCTCTCTCTCTCTCTTCCTCTCTCTCCCTCCCACTCTATCTGAACAAAAAATGGAAAAATGTCCTCGGGTGAGGATGATAAAAAAAAAAAATAAAAAAAAATAAAAAAAAAAAAAAGAAAGGTAAAGGAAGTCAAATATATGGTGACAGAAGATGTGACTTTGGGTGGTGGGCGCATAATGCAATATACAGATGATATGTCATAGAAATCTACACTTGAAGCTTAAATAATCTTATTAACCAATGTCACCCCAATAAATTTAATTTTTAAAAATGACATCATTGCTGATAAAAGAAGGGGGAGACCCTACCCCATCACCCAGATAAATGTAGCTACAGCTCTAAACTATCATTTAACGTATTTTCTAACCTGAACGGAATTTAATCTGTGTTGGTTAGCTAGATAGATTTAGATGTTTCTCCTTTTTTCCCCCATTGACACCCTTCTCCCAATCCTGCCCCCTCCCCAGCATTATTGTCTATGTCCTTGTTTACACATACATGTGTATATGTTCTGTGGTTTATCTCTTCTCCTCCCCTCCCCCGCGCCATCTACCTCTTCGGAGGTTTGTCAGTGTGCACCCCACTTCCATGACTCTGGGTCTGTTTAGTTCATTATATTCCACAAATAAGTGAGATCATATGATATTTGTCTTTCTCTGATAGGCTTGTTTTGCTTAGAATAATACTCTCCAGATCCCTCATGTCCTGTCAAAGGATAAGAGATCTTTCTTTCTTATAGCACCATAGTATTCCATTGTGTATATGTGCCACAGCTTTTTTTTTTTTTTTTTAGTTTGTTTGTTTATTTTTGTTACAGATATGTGCCACAGCTTTTTTATCCACTCATCTAATGATGGACACTTGGACTTTTCCAGATCTTAGCGATTGTAAATAGTGCTATGAACATAGGGGTATATATATTCTTTCTGATTGGTGCTTCAGGTTTCTTGGAGTATATTCCTAAAGATTCAGTTTAACTCTTAGGCCCTTACGTAACTTAAAACCTGAGACCTATTTTTCTAAATTTTAAATTTTGCTTGACTTTTCTGTCTTTGTTTAACAGCTTTATTAAGATACAGTTTACATATCATACAATTCACCCATTTAAGTGTACAATTCAGTGATTTTTTTTTTAATATACTCAGATTTTTTGCAACCATTTTCATAATCAATTTTACATTTTCATCACCCTAGAGAGAAGCCCTGTACCCATTAACAGTAACTCTCATCCTGCCAGCCCTAGGCAACCACTAATCTTTCTAGCTCTACAGATTTGCCTATTCTGGATGGCTTCTTTCACTAATGTTTTCAAGGTTCATCTAGGTTGTTGGATATATCAGTACTTCATTACTTTTTATGGCTGAACAATGCGTTGTATGAATGCATTCCACATTTTATATGTTCATCAGCTAATGGACATATAGATTGTTTCCACTTTTTGACTGTTTATGAATAATGCTATTAGGAACAATCATGTACAAGTTTTTGTGTAGATGTATATTTTTAACTTTGAGGAACTGCCTGTTTCCCAAAATGACTCTAATTATTTTACAAAGTTGCCAGCAATGAATGAGGGCTCCAGTTTCTCCACATCTTCGCCAACTCTTGTCATTATCCATTTTTTATATTATAGCCATCCTAGTGGGTCTGAAGTAGCATCTCATTATGGTTTTAATTTGCGTTTCCAGCCCCATTTTTTTTATGTAAAAAGACTTAGTGTACACAGAGTACACAGCACTATCAGCCTTAAAATAGTATTTTTAAATAAAGTATAGATGATAAGTTTTGTTTGATTTTACTTTTTTATTTCATCTGAAATTACTTTTAAATCTATTTTTAGAATTTTATATTATTATCCTCTTGTATTTCCTTTGCAGTCAACCCCCTCGGAAAAACAAGACCGATTAAACCAGACCACTAAAAGAGGAAAAGTCAAGAGTATTGATCTACCTATCCAGAGTAGCCTGTGTAGACAGTTGGGCCAAGATCTTCTCAATAGCTACATTGAAAATGAGGTATATAAATTTGAGTTGATGTTGAAATAGGTGGTAGCATATTCTGAGATTTTTGTAGAAGTCAATGATTGCCCCCCAAATGAGGAAACTAGTTATAATTCCTAAGGAATTATTAAGCAGATCATTGGACTACTTTATTTTGGACAAAATATTGAGCTGTATTAATGTCATGTACAGTGTAGTTTGCATCTTAGTTACATGAAAAACATGGTTACCTCCACTATGGAGGAGCACCAGCCCAACAGTCATGATCTTACCCCTTCTTACTCTGCTGTTAACAGTAACACTCAGCAGACATCTTGAGGGGAAGTATTTGCAGCTCCCTTTTCTAATGTGTTGTCCTAAAAAGAATAAGGCTCGCCCTGGCCGGTTTGGCTCAGCGGTTAGAGCGTCGGTCTGCGGTCTGGAGAGACCCGGGTTCGGTTCCCGCTAAGGGCACGTACCTCGGTTGCAGTTTGTCCCCGGCCCTGGTTGGTCGTGCGGGTGGCAGCCACTCGATGTGTCCCTTTCACGTCGATGTTTCTCTCTCTCTGTCCCTCTCTCCCTCCCACTCTACCTGAACAAAAAATGGAAAAATGTCCTTGGGTGAGGATAAAAAAAAAAATAAAAAAAAAAAAAAAAGAATAAGGCTCAATTCAAAACACTTTCTAACTTCCATTTAATACTTCATAAAATCTGTTGCCATTCTTGAAATTTTCCTTATATGTCTAAATGTTTAATTTTAGTCTCTTGAAGAGAAGTGTTTTATTTCTTTACCAGTAGTTGTACAGGAAGTAATTTATTTTTATTTATAAAATTTACATTTAAGTAGTGATTCCTAGTTTCTACAGACTTGGCAGGCATTAAAGGTCAGTTTTCTTTGAGGTCCCCCAATATTATTCCATCTGCTGCATATTATTCTAGGAATTTCTTCAAGAGATTTTGACTTGACAGTGCTTGCTCTTTATAGTACCTACCTTTATCACTATTCATTAATTATTGAAGGCTGTATTTTATGTGAAGCAAGCATTCCTGCAGACTCTGAATAATTCAGAATTTGTGTGTTTTGAGACTAATTCTCCCAAAGGAATGATTATGGGGAAGCACAATTATGGAAAAATTTGGGTATACAATTATTTCTTAAGTTTTAAATTTTTTTTTTTATTCTCACCCGAGGACATTTTCCCATTTTTTTGTTCAGATGGGGGGGCGGGGGGCATTGATGTGAAAGGGACACATTGAGTGGTTGCCACCTGCACAACCCAACCAGGGCCGGGGACAAACTGCAACCGAGGGACGTGTCCTTAGCGGGAACCGAACCCGGGTCTCTCTGGACCACAGGCCGACACTGTAACTGCTGAGACAAACCGGCCAGGGCTTAAGTTTTGAATGTTTTTATTGTGACAGAGAAACACCAATCGTCTGCCTCCTACTGGGGATCGAGCCTGCAACCAGGGCATGTGCCCTGACTGGGAATCAAACCAGGACCTCTCAGTCCATGGGACGAGCTCAGTCCACTAAGCCATATTGGCCAGGCATGTTTACTATTTTAAATTCACAAATGTCTGATACTGCAGTAGTGTGTTTAAAATAGTGTTTTTGTAGCCCTGGCCAGTTTGGCTTTCAATTAGAGCGTTGGCGCAAAGAGTCATGGGTTTGATTCCAGTCAAGGGCATGTACCTTGGTTGAGGTTCTGTCCTTGGCCCTGGTCGGGGTCATGTAGGAGGCAACCAGTCGGGGTGTGTGTGTGTTTCTCTCTCTCCCACTCTATCTGGAGATAAATGGAAAAATATCCTTGGGTGAGGATTAAAAAAAAAAGTGTTTTTGTTAAAGTGAAAATTTTATTAAGTATTTTAATCCCCAGGTTATTTTTCTGCTTTTTTTATCCTCACCTGAGGACATTTTTCCATTTTTGGCACAGATAGAGTGGGAGGGAGGGAGAGAGAGAGCGAGAGAGAAACATCGACGTGAAAGGGACACATCGAGTGGCTGCCACCCGCACGACCAACCAGGGCCGGGGACAAACTGCAACCGAGGTACATGCCCTTAGCAGGAACCGAACCCGGGTCTCTCCAGACCGCAGGCCGATGCTCTAACCGCTGAGCAAAAGCGGCCAGGGCATTTTTGCTTTTGATTACAACAATAATTTTTGCTAACATCTTAAACACTTTAATGTCTTATTTAATCTTCCAAACAACCCTATGACATGTAGATACTGCTAGAGGAGCTACATTTTACAGATGAGGAAACAGAAACAGGTAGACCCAAGGTCAAGAGTGTAACCTTTAATTTGAATGCAAGTAGTCTATCTCCAAAGCTCAAGGTCACAACCACTATATTATATTCCCTTCCAGGGCTAACATTTTTTCAGCACTATTTGAGTGCCAGGCACTGGACTAAATATTTCCCATGGACTGTGTCAATTTTAGTAACCCTGTGAACTAGATAAAAATATGCTCTCTATTGTAAGATAAGAAAACTGAGGCTCAGAGGTTAGGTGACTTAGTTCTGAGATCTCAGTGCTAATAAACGGGGAGCCTAGAATTTGAATCTGAATATATACAATGATGGTCTGTGTGGGTTCGTCTTTTTTATAATTCACTTTCAGTTCCTGTGAATTGGCCTATTGTAGGTTAATCATACAATATTAATTGTAAAAATGTACAATATTTGTCCTTTTGTGTCAGACTTACTGCACTTCGCAAATGTTTTCAAGATTATGTTGTAACATGTATCAGACTTCTGTAGTAGAGTAATATTTTATTGTGTATATGTACATTTTATGTATCCATTCAAATGGACAATTGAGTTATTTCCACCTTTTGGTTAATACGAATAATGCTGCAGTGAACATTGGCATACAAATATCTGTTTGAGTTTCTGCTTTCAGTTCCTTTGGATATATACCAAGTAGTGAAATTGTTGGGCCATATTGTAATTATTTGTTAGCTTTTTGAGGAACCACCAAACAGTTTTCTCTCATAGCAGCAGCATTTCACATTCCGAACAGAAATGTAAAAGTGTTTCAAATTCTGCATATCCTCATCAAGAATTATTTTTGTTTAGTCATCTTATTAAGTATGAAGTGTATTTTCATTGTGGTTTTGGTTTGCATATCCCTAACTCCCTAATGTTATTAATGTGAACTAATCTGAAACTTTTTGAATAGGGGAAAATGATAATGCAAGATAAATTGGAGAAAGAAAGAAATGATGCTAAGAATGCTGTTGAAGAATATGTATATGATTTTAGAGACAAGCTGGGCACTGTCTATGAAAAATTCATCACTCAAGAAGTAAGTCTAGCCCTGGCCAGCTGGCTCAGTTGGTTGGAACATCATCCCATACACCAGAAGGTTTTGGGTTTGATCCCCAGTTGGAGGCAATCGATGGATGTTTCTCTCACATTAATGTTACTCTCTCCCTCTCTGCCTCCCGCCCTCTCCCTCTCCCTTCCTCTCTGTCTAAAAATCAATATAAACATATCCTCAGGTGAGAATTTTAAAAAAGTAAATCTAAATTTTATAGTCTTTTATTAGAACTAAAGTATTTGCTTGAGACTGCTAATACAGACTATGTAAATAAATGTATTAAATGCGTTATTGTCAATCTTCTTGAGCAAATTTAAAAATAGTTCTTAGCTATTTTTCCAATTTGCAGAAGTATGGTGAAGAACAGGTTTATAAATAAAAGAAAAATATGAAATTTAAGTTTTTATACTTGAAAATATTGTGTCCTTCACTGTACTTGTATTTCTAAGGAGAGCATTTTTTAATTGGTCTCTTAAACGTATATCCAGGACTTGAATAAACTGTCTGCAGTATTGGGAGACACAGAAAATTGGCTTTATGAAGAAGGAGAGGACCAACCTAAACAAATTTACGTGGATAAGCTTCAAGAACTAAAGGTAAATTTTTTAAAGTCCATGTTAATGTTAAATAGAGCATTAAGTTTTCCAAAAATTGTTTGTGAGAGCACAGTGTATTTTTTTATAAATATGTAAGAAATTAAGGCCCGACTGGTGTGGCTCAGTGGTTTGAGCAACTTCCCATGGACTGAGAGGTCCTGGTTCGATTCCCAGTCAGGGCACATGCTTGGGTTGTGGCTTGATCCCTGTAGGGAGCATGTAGGAGGCACCCAATCATTGTTTTTCTCATCGATGTTTCTCCCTCTCTCTACGTTCCCCCCCTCTCTAAAAAATCAATAATATATATTTTTTTAAAAAGGAATTAACTAAGGCAGATATTCGTAAGTGGAAATATTCGTTCTCACTGTAAAAGCATTTTGAGAGGTGAGCAGTGCTACATGTAATTAAAATCAAATAATGATAATCATATTTGTCTATCATGATACTCAGATATAAATATAAATATTTAGATGGCCAGATTGTTAGTATTACTTTAACAAGACATGTATTTTTGAGATGTCATTTAAGAAGTGATTTGTCAAACTGACCCCTTCTTATCAGAGGAGTCACACTTCCTTAGCTTCTTTCCCCAGTCACTGCTCTGATTTTGAGGGGTAATACACCTCCTACCCTTTTGTATTTTCACATTGCAACTGATGGGGACACCTGGTCAGCGAAGAACTTCAAAAATAGCATCTCTGCTCTTGAATGTCCTTTTGCAAAGAAATAAGGAGACCTCACCGGGTTCACTTTTTTGCAGATCAGTGGTATGACTTTAAGAAAAGACCACTATTAATCCTTTCCTCCTGCTTACTACCCAAACCTCCTCCCCCTACCCTGGAAAAAACAGATTACAAATTCAGACTGGAAGGATGACAGGGAATTGTAGTCTTTGCCTCTCAGTGTGGATCATAGCAGTGCTTCAGTGTGCACATGAATTACCTGGGGCTCTTACAGAAATGCAGATTATGATTCAGTATATTGAGGTGAGCCCATTATTCTGCAGTTTTAACAAGCTTCTAAGAGATTCTGATAGAGCTAGTCCCTGAACCATTCTTTGAGTAGCAAGGGAATACATAGATGCTAAATGATGGCATAAATAAGGATTTCTAGAATATGGAAAAAAGCACCCTGTTAGCTGGGGAAGGAGGGGCATGCAAAATAAGTTAATATCATGCAACAACTACTTTCATGCCAATAAATTATTTCCAAAGGGAATGATTAGAAAGCAAGTAGAAAACCTAAGCTTATGATAGCAATACTAGGCTTTACCATATTTTATCTTCATGGTGGTTTTAATTCCCTGACTCCCTAAGAAAATGCATGTCTTTTGGGCCACAGGAATAGCCAGACAGCTAAAGCCAATAGAAATAACTGGCAAAGCCCAGAAGCACCCCAAATGGATATTTTGTCTAATGTATAAATAACCATAAAAATGAATGTTACAAAAGTTTTTATAGGCTTTACTATTGTTTTGAGATGGCTTTTAGAAATTAAAAATGTACTACTTCTCTTTCAGAAACATTTATAATAAAAAGTATGATGTAAATAGACTAAATACAATATGGTATCCTGGAACAGAAAAAGAAGTCCAAATAAAGTCTGGAGTTCAGTTCATAGTAATGCACCAGGGTTGGTTTCTTAGTTTTGACAAATGTGCCGTACTGGTACAAGATTTTAACATTAGAGACAAGCGATGAGAGATGCTTGGCTCTTTTATTCCCTTTGTAACTTTTCTGAACATCTAAAATGAGTTGATTTTTATTTAAGTATATAAAGAATTTGAAAGAAAATATTCTTCTAATGCAGCCCCTTCCTCAAAGTTATATAGTCTGTTTTATTTATTTATTGTTTTATTATTATTATTATTATCCTCACCTGAGGACATTTTTCCAATTTTGTTCAGATAGGATGGGAGGGAGTGAGAGGAAGTGAGAGAGAGAAACATCAACGTGAAAGGGACACATTGAGTGGCTGCCACCCACATGACCAACTAGGGCCGGGGACAAACTGCAACTGAGGTACGTGCCCTTAACAGGAACCGAACCCGGGTCTCTCTGGACCGCAGGCTGATGCCCTAACCGCTGAGCCAAACCAGCCAGGGCCATTTATTATTTTTAATCCTCACCTGTGGATATATTTCTATCGATTTTTAGATAGAGTGGGGTGGGGAGAGAGAGAGAGACATTGATTGGTTGCCTCCCGCACAACCCCCACTGGAGCTGGGGATTGAACCTGCAACCCAGGTACATGCCCTTGACTAGGAATTGAACCCGTGACCCATTCGTCAGTGGGCCAGTGCTCTAACTGCTGAGCCAAACCACCAGGGCTCTAGAGGCTGTTTTAACATTTAGAAACTCCTGCCCTGGCCGGTTTGGCTCAGCGGTTAGAGCATCGGCCTGCGGTCCAGAGAGACCCGGGTTCGGTTCCCGCTAAGGGCATGTACCTCGGTTGCAGTTTGTCCCTGGCCCTGGTTGGTCGTGCGGGTGGCAGCCACTCGTTGTGTCCCTTTCACATCGATGTTTCTCTCTCTCTCTCTTCCTCTCTCTCTCTCCCACTCTATCTGAACAAAAAATGAAAAAATGTCCTCGGGTGAGGATAAAAAAAAGACAAAAAACATTTAGAAACTCCTCATTCCAGGGCCCAAAGGTTTATTGTTAAAGCACTACATTTATAATACAGTACACATTTTTAATCTAATGAATAAATATAATGTACATAATATTCAATGTCTTGTGCTATAAAGCTTTTTCTGTTAGTAACTTTTTCTTTAAAAAACAATTTTTTTAACAGAAATATGGTCAGCCTATTCAAATGAGATACGTGGAACATGAAGAGAGACCAAAAGCTTTAACAGACTTGGGAAGAAAGATCCAGCTTGTCATGAAAGTGATAGAAGCCTACAGAAACAAGGTATTGAACTCATAAAGCCAAATGAGAATGATGGCATGTGTAGTACGTGGTGAGCGTGGGGCAAATCTAAAAGTTCTCAGCTGTAGTCCAGCCAGTGTGGCTCAGTGGCTGAGTGTCGACCCATGCATAAAGAGGCCGCAGGTTCGATTCTCGGTCAGGACACATGCCCAGGTTGTGGGCCTGATCCCCAGTGCGGGGCATGCAGGGGACGGCCAGTTGGTGTTCTCTCTCATTGATGTTTCTGTCTGTCTCTCCCTCTCTCTCCCTCTCCCAAAATTCAGTAAAGAAAACAAAATTTGCCCTGGCCGGTTTGGCTCAGTGGTTAGAGCATCCACCTGCGGTCCGGAGAGACCCGGGTTCGGTTCCCGCTAAGGGCACGTACCTCGGTTGCAGTTTGTCCCCGGCCCTGGTTGGTCGTGCGGGTGGCAGCCACTCGATGTGTCCCTTTGACATCGATGTTTCCCTCTCTCTCTCTCTTCCTCTCTCTCCCTCCCACTCTATCTGTGGAAAAAATGGAAAAATGTCCTCGGGTGAGGATAAAAAAACAAAAAAAAACAAAATTTTTTTCTCAAAGCTGTAGCAGTTGTTGCTACCAAATTTTAGATACATTGTGCACTAAACTTGAAATTAATATTTTATATGAGAATTATCAGTAAATGATACTACTACATTTAAAATACAGTGTAGGTATGTGACTTTAATTTTTTCGAATTCCCTAAAACCACATTATAAATTAATCCAGTGACCAAATCCATTATTGATCATTATTGATATAGTAAGAGAGGTTTTCTTGGACCTTTTTTTTATTACCAGCCTTTTTGAGACTGGCCTCTGCTAGCCATTATTTTGTTTTGTGGCTTCTTATATTGTCTTTCATGTGTGGCAACTGTAGTTCTCTTTTTCAGACAGCATTTTATTACATAACCCCCTTATCAACAACTCACCATATTGTTTTGTTGTATATCCAGAATTTTTGCTTCAGTTAACTGTATGCCTGCTTCCCTTACTTCTCTTTAGTCTCTAACAAATTCAATTCCATGCAGCTTCTTTCTTGGCAAAGTACCTTTCTTTGAATATTTACCACTAGTCATTTTTTTCCAAACCTGATTCCTTCAGAAAACCTTTCCTTTTAAAAACCCACACTGATTTTTTTTCTTTCTCCCAGTCCCTTCAGTTCTTTTTTTTCAATCCTCACTCGCAGACGTTTTTGCATTTATCTTCAGACAGAGCAGGAGAGACAGAGGGAGGAAGAGAAAGAGAGAAACATCAGTGTGAGAGATTCACATCGACTGGTTGCCACCCACAACCCCAACGAGACCAGGGACAAACTGCAGCCGAGGTGCGTGCTCTCTCAGCAGGGCCAAACCCAGGTCTCTCTGGTCTGCGAGCCGCCCTCTAACCGCTGAGCCAAACTGGCCAGGGCCCTTCAGTTCTGTGTGACATATGTGGCTTCTTCACATGGGTTTGTGCAAGGTATACATTCAATAAGAGTCTGAATCTTTTAAGTAGAAATTATTAATAAAATTTACTTATTAAAAAATCTGTTTCATTAAGTAAAGTTTTTTTCAATAGGATGAAAGATATGATCATTTGGATCCTGCTGAAATGGAAAAAGTTGAAAAATACATCAGTGAAGCCATGAATTGGCTGAACAGTAAGATGAATGCACAAAATAAACTAAGTCTCACTCAAGATCCTGTGGTGAAAGTTTCAGAAATAGTTGCAAAGTCAAAGGTAAGAAACTATAAAATTCTCCTTTTAAGGGGTTTAAGCACCAAAACTTTTTAATAGGAGCCATGATTTTTTATTTTGGAAAAAAAAAAATGATTTTAGGTGGGACATCTTTGTTCCTTGATTTCATTAGTCACATATGCAAGCTTGTGTTTTTTTGTTTTTGTTTTTTTCATTTTTATTTTAAGGGTGATACAGAATGAAATAAAGCAGTTGACAATTTTTGACTGTCACATATGCCAGACTTTTCTGGATTGGGCAAGACTTCTAAGTCTCCATTGTAAAACTTGGCAGTATAGGTCTGTCTTTGATATAATTCAAAATGTGTTTAATTCTATGGTAAAATCTTATTTCTGAGATAAAGTTTCCAGTCTAAAAACATTACTAATGAAAATATCAGTTCATCATAGAAAACATGAAAAACTAGGGGACAAACTTTTTAATAAAGATCAGAATCAAAGTAGGAATATGAATAAAGACATTAGATAAGCAGTTGACAGAAGAAAACATACATGTTCAATAAATATATGGAAAATACAAAAATTATTGTTCATCCTCATCGCTAATCTACAAAATGCAAGTCTTTTTTTTTTTAATCCATCTGATTTGTGTGTTTACATTTATAATCTTGCCATAATTGTCAAGGGTGTAAAGAAATGGATGCCCTCCCTGCACAACTTGGTTAAATTTGTTACTTTTATAATTGTCAAGGGTGTAAAGAAATGGATGCCCCCCCTGCACAACTTGGTTAAATTTGTTACTTTTCTGGGACACTGTATGGAAATTTAAAGTGAGTAGGCCCTTTAACCCAGAAATCACATTTCTAGGAATTCATCCTAAATTGATCATTACACAGGTATATGCAGATCAAATATCTTTGTTTTAAGCAAAAAAATTGGAAACACCTAAAATATCAGTAAGCAACTGGATGAACAAATTGATACATCCATGTATCTTTTTAGATGTGTACAACATATTGAGTGAAAAATGAAAGGTTACAGAATATAAAGGTTATCTCACTGTTTAAATTAGTGTGTTAATAGATTTGTATACTTGTATATATGTGTATGCCTGGACATTTAAGGATCGTCACCAAAATGTGAATATTATAGGATTTGGAATTTCAGGTGATTTTTTTCATCTAGTTCAGTATGTTTTTAGTATCTATTTTTACTTTTTTTAAAAACAGAAACAGGCATATATTTTTTTTTAATCAAATAGAGCACTGGAAGCATTTTCCTTTTGAGAAAGCTTTGCAAAGAAGCTGTGGTAATTTACTTCTAATCAAAGGAAGTGTAATGTGTGATGAGAGCATCTGCCATTAAAACATTCCCCCAGGATGACGCTCCCTATCTTTCCATCCCTATCCTGATCTCTGTGACATAGGTGTTGAAATGATCTTAATGGTCTTTTTTTCTGTGTAAAAAAAATAAAGCAACAATTTGGAAATACATTGTATTTCTTCTAAATTATTAAGTTGCATTTACTTTCATGGCTTGTTCTCTCCTTCAACAGACAAGGCTACTCAGCTGTTTTCAAAATGTAAAGTTAGTATGTATGTTTTCATGTAAATGTTCAGAAATTTCAAGTCATGAAATAGGTGTTATTTGATATAATTCTCATAACAGAGCATTAGGCATAATTTAATGAATGAATTAAAAGTTATTTCCAATAGTAATTTTAAAAGATATGTGCATCCCTATGTTCATGGCAGTATTTTTATAATAGCTATGATAGAGAAGAAACCTAGGTGTCTATTGATAGTAGAATGGATAAAGAAGATGTGGTTTATATACACAATGGACTATAGTATTCAGCCATAAAAAAGAATGAAAATTGCAATTGCAGCAGCATGGATGGACATAGAAGGTATTATGCTAAGTGCAATAAGTTGGACAGAGAAAGACAAATACCACATGATTTCACTTATGTGTACAATCTAAAAAAAAAAAAAGAACAAACCAGACAAAATAGAAATAGACTCGTGGATACAGAGAGCAAAACTGATGGTTGTCAAAGGGGAGGAGGATGGGGGGGTAGGTGTAAAAGGTGAAGGAGGAGGAGGGGAGGGGATAAGGGGTACAAATTTCCAGTTATAAAATAAAGAAGTCACAGGAATGTAATGTACAGCAGAGAGAAAATAGTTAATGCTACCTCAATAACTGTGCATGGTAACAGTTAGTAGGCTTATTGTAGTCTATATCAATAAGGTATGTAAATGTCGAATCAATATGTTGTACATCTGGAACCAACATAATATTGTATGTCAGCTATAATAAAAAGTAAACATTTTTTAAGTGTTTAAAAAAAGAATTATTTCTGCTGAAGTAAACTATACTTTAAATCATGAGGAGCCAGTGTTCAGGAAGATGAGACATAAAAAGCTCTGGTAAAGGCTGGGTGGTTTCCTGTCGCCCCAGGCAGGCACTGGCCAGAGGTAAACCCCTTACCGAGCTCCTTGAAGGAACAGTCGGTTATCTAACTGAGCTAACATAAATTAAGGAATGTGAAATATTTTACACGGAAATTTAGAAAGTTAATGTGTAATTTAACAGTGCTATTTTCAATGTATTCAATATTCTTTATGTCTTTAGGAACTGGATAATTTCTGTAACCCCATCATTTACAAACCCAAACCAAAAGTAGAGATTGCAGAAGACAATGCAAAAGGTAATAGTGAACACAATGGACAGATGGATGGACAGAGTGGGACTGAAACTAAATCAGATACAACAAAAGACAGCTCACAGCATACTAAGTCTTCTGGAGAGATGGAAGTGGACTAAGTCTTAACTTTACCTTCACGTAATTCAAACAGTGCAAGTAACCATGGGGTCCATTCTTCTTTTACATCTGGTACACACAACAGATGTTCAGTTGTTCTTAACCACATTTTGTCATTTGTTTTTTGGAGTAGTTTTGAAAAGTGTTTTATATTGAGTACACATCTGTTTATTTCCATTGCTGCTTATGTGAAGCTTTAGCTGAATATAGATTTACAAGTCAGTTTAAGCTTTCCTAATATATTTTATATCACATGCAATATTGATATGTAGTTGGCAACAATCTACCTTATTTAAAGCTTCTACTTGGATAAACTTCAGCTCCTTATTCAGGAAAGGATACTACTGTATTGCACTAATGTCGCAGAAGCATAGATATAACTGATCATTATTTTGAAAAACAGTATTGAAATTGATGTGGTTTAAAGTCACTGAGGCACTGACCTTTTTCTAGTTATTGTATTGTTTAACTTAAATATTAAAACAAATAAGAGGTTCCTCGACAAATTAGTCCATCTCATTGGTGTGCCATGAGAATTCCAAAGCTTTGCTTCCATCACATAAATGAACCAAATTACACCTTGAAAGGGAAAATGCACAATTTTATGTTAAGGTGACACCAGCAGTTTTCTTCTTTTATTAGTAATGTGGATTGATGTTTTTTTCTTAGAGTAATTCAGTGTCATTTTCACTTGAACTTCTGATCTACTTGTCCTGAAGATCTGCTGCTGCTAAAGTAATACTAGCCTAAAGAAAAAGAAAGTACCTTCATGTTAAGTGGAAATGCTGTGGACCTACTCAGAAATGCATCTGTGATGTTGATAGCCTTGTTTCAGTTTTAATTGTTGTTTTGGTTTTATTAATTGATTCTATTAATCTTAACACAGGGTAGGGGGAAATGGCACAATGGATTGCATTATGTACATTTATCACTGAAGTTCTTAATGGTAAGATATAAACACTATTAAATAAGTGGTAATACTTGAAAAGCACTTATACCCTAAGTCTTAGGAAATAATGCTTGTAATAAACTTAACTATGTTACATATCAACAGGAAAAATATAGAATGTTACATAGTGTAATATGATATGATGTGATTAAATTATAGTTCCTGCTGTTAAATTACCTGTTCAGACCTTGGCTCCAGTTTTGGTGCTTTTTATATATGGGACAAGGGACTGTGAAAATAAGATATTTTAAGGACTTAACCTGTGCTTCATCATCATCCTTGTTCCTATTGTTCAGTTCTGTCCACAGGCTTGAAACTAACTGGGAGCAGATAAGAAAAAGAAGCACAGACAGTACATGGGCTCCTGTGCTTAACACCAATCAACTAGATTGACCTAGTTCTAAATGTTCAAAGGCTCACTTTTTCCCAAGGCTAAATCTTTCCATTAAGAATGAATATTGAGCCCTGGCCAGTTTGGCTCAGCAGTTGGAGCGTCAGCCTGCGGACCAGAGAGTGTCCCGGGTTCCGTTCCCGCTAGGCCCTAGCAGCTAGGGCACGCACCAAAAAAAAAAGAATTAATATTGACTTTTTTTAAGTAGTAAAAATTGAGAGTTTAATATCTTTAGGGATAGTCTCACAACTGGTTCTCTAAGAGAGATTTTGTTTCTACAATGTAGTCTGCACTGAGAGGGGAGTGTAGAGGAGGAGTACATTTTCCTGAGTTTTTATTCATTCTTTTGGAGGGAGATGTCCTTTTTTTGTATTAAAAAAATTCATATATCCCCAACATACTTTAAATGTCTTCTACTCTTTAAACTGTCCTTGTTTTAGTACACTTAAAATGAAAGGGATGAAGTACATTATTTTAAAAAGCATGTATCAGTTACTTTTCATTTGTATGTTGAATATATAGGTTTATTTTGGGAAAAACAACGTTATTAAAGGGAATTTATAACAGTACAAGTAAGGAGTTTATAGCTTCTTCTTGAAGACCTCTACCCATTATTTTAGGAGATATAATTCAAAAACTTCTTGGCAATAAATGTGGGAACACCACCTTTCTTCATCTGAATTGTTTGGTATATCCTGACATTTTCCATTCCTTCTCTTAAATCAGTTTATGTCATTCTGTGTTTTGGTAAGCTATATAACATTCAAAGTCTTGCAGTTAGGTAACACTTAATATGTTAAATACATCCAATGATAATATGCATACTTTTTACCTATTTATTCAACCTAAATGATATTTTCAGAAGCTCTTTAACCTAGTAGTTACTTACTGACTACATTCATGAAAGAGAATGTTCTCCTTAACGCAGTCTTGGTAGGCAGTATGGTTAGTTTCGTCTTAATCCCTAGAATATACAGTGCTAGCAAAAAATTAAAATTTTTTTCAAAATAAAGAGCCATTATTTTAGATTTTATAAGGTACATAGCAAAATAGATTGTTTTCCTATAGTAAGCAAATATAAATTACGTGTAGGAAATATCTAGGATGATTAATAAATACGAGTATACTTTGACTCTTTGGAAAAGTGTACATTTTTTTGTTTGAAAAACCAACTCTTGATAACCTATTATACCGTGATTATAAAAACAAAAACTGCTAAATAATATAACAAATTTTCATTCCTTAGCAATATACAGAATTCTTAAGTTTTAAAAACAATTAGAAACAGTACACCAAAGAATTAGGCTATTGGAATGACAGATAATCTCAGTTTTAAAAGGGTAAATAGTCTCTTATTAAGAAAAAAAAAAGATTTCTTAGACTTTTGGGGGTGTCAGTTTTTAGTATGTTCACGATTACTTCCTTGATAGAACTCTATTTAAAGTGAAATTTAGGATTCAATTCATCCGAATTAGCACATCTTTAACTATTTTGAAAAATATTCATGTTTAAAGACAACGGAAAAATAGTCTCTCTGGTGAGGATTAACAACAACAACAAAAAGACAATAGATATTTGAATATAGTAATCAAATTAGTTGACTTCAGTTTGACCCAAAATAGATATAGCCATCCCTCCATTTTCATAAATTTTAATTGTAATAAACCTATACACATTCCCGTTAAGATTTTTTTTTAATAGTTGATATTTGGTAGTCCACAAAAATTAAAGCTTTAGCATTAATTTTACATACCAGATTTACAAGTCTTAAGTTACTAGAAAAATAAAGCTTCATCTTTCTCACCTTTTAGAACTTTACAACAAAAACACTTCAATTCTAAAGTAAATGTTATTTTGTGTTTAAGCTTTGGAAGTTTTGAATTTTAAGTAGAATTTGGTTTTGTTGATATTTGATTCTGTAAAACTTAATCAGAGGCATATAATTAATTGTATTGGTATATCAGTATTTAAAATCTGATAGCATATATTGGATAGCCACTGCTAACTTTTCAAATGACATAGGTAGGGACACTTACAAAGTTGGTTTCTAATATTCTCTTAACGTGTTTTCTAACTATGAGTGATTTATCAAACTAAGTCTTCTTAAAGCAGTCAGTCAATTTCAGAAGATACAGACTTTTTGATTAAAAAAAACATTTTAAATTTCCTTTTTTTATCAAAGTCTAAAGTATCATTTTTAAATAATTTCCAAGAAGCACATAATCTCTTCTTTTGATAAAAAGTATCAAAAGTTTAATGCAGATCAAAGACCAATGCTTTTAACCAAAACAAACCAAAAAGAAACTTCTCAGCTCTTTTACTTTTACATCTATAATTTAAAATTCACTGAAATTAATATTCTTCCATGTACTCATGTGTTTCCCAGCCAAGCAGCTTTGGGTTTACATTACAGCAAGGTGTCAAGGATAACTGTTTCATATAATAAAGTGGCACCTGGAATTTTTAGAATAACAAACTGCGTAGAAGAAAAGAAAAAAACCTAAATATGTATGGCAGTGGTCAGTATCTACAGGTGATTATGGTTCTTTGCATCTTCCCAATCCCTGAGGAAACCTCTAGCATTGTTAGAGTATTCAAAGAAAAAGCCTGTGTGTTAAAATACATTATTAAATGACTTGGAGCTTTCAAATCAAAGAAAAATAATTGAATCGTGAACATTTGATTCAGTCTTTCAAATAGGTCACCATCCATAACAACAGAACTTAATAGTATGATCTTTGCTTTGGAACCTCTAATTTAGTTTCATGTTCCAAATCACAGGATAATTATTAGGGAAATGTATTGATACCAAAAAATGACTCATCCTATAAAGAGATGAGTGAAATTCAACATGTTTAAGACAGTTTAATTGCATTATAGTATGTAAATTACAAATGGAAATAGTCTTTAGTCTTTTCTGTTATCTTGTTTTTGTTATCTTCTCATCTGGTTCTAGACTCTTAAATAATCATTATATTTTTCAAGTCTATTTTGCTTTTTTTATTTTGGATTATTCTTTAGATATTTTATTTCATGGATTTTTAAAATTTAAATCATTTTTTATTTTTCAACTACAGTTGACAATACAATATACTACTACTTTTAGGTGTGCACCCCAGTGATTTTATATTTATATAACTTATTAAGTGATCATCCTAGCAAATTAAGTTCCCATCCGACACCATGCATACTTATTAGAACATTATTGACTGTATTCCCTGTGCTGTACTTATATCCCCATGAATATTCTTTAATAACCAATATCTTCTTCTTCATCCCTTCACCTTTTTCACCTAGGTCCCCCCCCCCATCTAGCAACTATTGAAATGTTCTCTGTATCTATGAGTCTGTTTCTACTCTGCTTCATTTATTTTGTTGTGTTTTAAGATTCATTTGTTGATAAATATGTATTTATTGCCATTTTTATTTACATTTTTTATCCCCCCCCTCCCCCAATTAACATTTCATACAATACTGGCTTGGTGGTGGTGAGCTCCTTTAGCTTCCCCTTGTCTGGGAAGCTCTTTATCTGTCCTTCGATTCTCAGTGACAGCTTTTCTGGGTAGAGGAATATTGGTTACAGGTCCTTGCTTTTCATCACTTTGAATATTTCTTGCCCAGTCCCTTTTGGCCTACAGAGTTTCTATTGAGAAATAGCTAACAGTTTTATAGGAGCTCCTTTGTAGGTAACTAACTGCTTTTGGTGCTTTTAAAATTCTTTCTTTGTCTTTAACCTTTTGTATTTTAATTATGTGTCTTGGTGTGGGCTTCTTTGGGTTCATCTTGTTTGGGACTCTCTGTGCTTCCTGGACTTATATGTCTGTTTCCTTCTCCAGGTTAAGGAAGTTTTCTATCACTATTTTTTCAAATAGATCTTCAGTTTCTTGCTCTCTCTCTTCTTCCGGCACCCCCATGATGCAATATTGGTATGCTTGAAGTTGTCCCAGAGGCTCCTTACACTATCTTCATTTTTTAAAATTCTTTTTTTTTTTGCTGCTCTGATTAGGTGTTTTTTGCTTCCTTATTTCCAAATCACTGATTTGATTCTCAGCTTTATCTACTCTATTGTTGAGTCCCTGTAATTTATTCTTCACTTCAGTTAGTGTATCCTTTATTTCTCACTGGTTCTTTTTTATGGTTTCCATGTCCATTTTTATGCTGTTGAAATTCTAAGTTCAACTACTCTTTTTTTTTTCTTTTATCCTCACCCAAGGACATTTTCCCATATTTTGTTCAGATAGAGTGGGAGGGGGAGAGAGGAAGAGAGAGAGAGAAACATCGACGTGAAAGGTACACGTCGAGTGGCTGCCACCCATACAACCCAACCAGGGCCAGGGACAAACTGCAACCGAGGTACACGCCCTTAGCAGGAACTGAACCCCCGGGTCTCTCTGGAGCGCAGTCCGACACTCTAACCACTGAGCCAGACTGGCCAGGGCTCAACTACTCTTTCTCTAAGTTCATTAAACATCCTTATAACCAGTGATTTGAACTCTGCATCCAGTAGATTACTTGTTTTCATTTTATTTAGTTCTTTTTCTGGAGATTTGTCCAGTTCTTACATTTTGAATGTGTATTTTTGTCCCCTCATTTTGGCAGTCTCCCTGTGTTTATTTCTATGTATTAGGTAGAGCTGCTACATCTCATAGGCTCGGTAGAGTGGCCTAATGTAGTAGATATCCCATAGGGTCTAGTGGCACAGCCTCCCCAGTCACCTCAGCAGGGCACTCCAGATACTCTTCCCTACCTGTGTGGACTGTTCAACCTTCCTATTGTCGTTGAACCTTGATTGTTG